TAGACGTACCTGATGCCATTGGAAGTTTGTACCACCTCAAGTTCTTAAGCTGAAGAGGTATCCGTGATCTTCCCTCTTCCATTAGCAACCTCAACAATCTACAGACACTTGTTGTCGATGTGGGAGGATACACTTTCCAACTACCCCGCGAGACAACTTACCTGATAAATTTAAGACATTTAGTTTCTCGGTATTCAAAAAACTAACTAGTCTTTGAGTTCTTGAAGGTGTTGGTGTGACCAATCGAAAGATGTTGACCCTGTTAATTTAGTAGATCTTGGAGAATTAAGCATGTTTGATATTAGCAAATCTTACTCCTTAAACAACATTAGTAGCTTAGCACTCTCACATTGCCGGGTCGGTATGGTAACTCATCTCCATTTCCAGACCTTGAATTTGTTAATTGTTGTGAAAAGCTCCAGAAATTGAGGTTTGAAGGGGTGATAGAGAAACTGCCTCATCTCTTTCCAAATTCTATCACAATGATGCTTATTTGGAAGTCAAGACTGACAGAAGATCTGATGCTTATTTTGGGAATGTTGTCAAACCTAAAGAATCTCGATTTGATTAGTTCTTATGCAGGAAAAGAAATAATGTGCAATGATAATAGTTTCAGTCAACTAGAGTTCCTTCAACTTGAGGATCCTCGAAACCTAGAAAGATGGTATTTAGGCACAAGTGTCATGTCTCTGATTAAAGGTCTTGGTATCCATTATTGTCCCAATTTAAAGGAGATTCCTGAGAGAACGAAAGACGTGGAGCTGCTGAAGAGGAATTATATGTGGTGAAGCTTTTGAAGAATCATATATATATATATATATATATATATATATATATATATATATATATATATATATATATATATATATATATATATATATAAACCTAAGGTCCGCCTATGTGGCGCCCCTACAAACAAGAGATTCCTTTTAAATTTATTTATTTATTATCAAAACTAGCATCCCACTTTCACGAAGAGTTGTGACTTTTATGAAGAGTTGTGACTTTTACGAAAAGTTGCGAATTTTATGAAGAGTTCTGACTTTTTTGAAGAGTTGTGACTATCATGAAAAGTTGTGATTTTAATGAAGAGTTGCAATTTTTATGAACATTTGTGCAAGCTACCCTTTGTTATCTATGAAGAGTTGTGACTATCTGATAAAACACAATAACATTTGTGCAAGCTACCCTTTATAGTCTATAAATAGAGGGATTTTCTCTCATTTTAAAACAACGAAAATTCTAAAACTTTCCTCTTGTTCTTCATAACTGAATATTTATGTACTTTGTTCCTGTTGAGTAACTCACTGACACGATTGCTTATGTTACAGATCTTGGTATGTATTTTTACGGTCATTAATTTATGGTTATGTTTTTAAGAATAAATAATAAGATAAATTATCCTTATCTCAAAAAAAAATGATAAGATGGAATAAGTTTCATTTTCGTTTATATTATTAATATTTCTTATCGTGTAATCTTGTAAATAAGATAATATAGTGTTTTAGTTTTAATGACTGATAGGTTGAAAATATTATTTTATAAAATCTAAAATGGTCTAAATAGGAATGGAGGGAATATTTAGAATTATAATAAACATGGATGTTTTTCAACCTTATAGTTATTCTCTTGGGAGTAAGGGTCAAATCGCTTATAGCATGCGTCCTTGGTCAATCATGATAGCGGATACATCTATCATGATAGAACCATATTGATTCGTTTTGCTTGCAGCAGGCAAGGCCGTAAAATCTCGGATTCTTCCTGATTCGATTCCTTCTTCCAAGATTTCTCCCATTCTAATGATTTCTGTGAATTTTTGTCCCATTTTCTCATAGTAAAGATTGTTATCTTGACATTCACTAAAGGTAGCAGCCATTGCACTTTCACTCATCGTGGTTGGATTCTAGCTGCTTCTGACCTCCAACACAGAAGCATACTCACGAAATGTCTCAGTTGACTTCTTCTTCAACTTGGTCAGGTAAAACCTATCTGGTGTGATGTCGGTGTTGAATTGAATAGATCCATAAAGTCTTGTGTCCTGTCACTCAAACCATGCCATTTATGGAGATCTTATTGTGTATACCAAGCAAGAGCTTCACCAACAACTTCACTCTAACCACTCGTCTCTCCCCAATCCTACCAGTTTGTCACAATATGCCCTTACATGTGTATGAGGATCATCGATTCCATTGAATATATATATATATATATATATATATATATATATATATATATATATATATATATCAAAGTTTGGCGGTTTGTACCCAACGGGCAAGTCAATGATACCATCACAAGTACTCAACACGAATGAGTTTGCACTACTTAGACAAAGGCCACACTCTGAAAATTCAATAATGGAGTTGCAAGTAGCATGGCCATAACCTAAAGAATCATTAGGATAAGAAGATATTATATAGTAATAATAACCTTTATTTGATGTCATATTTTGTAATGCTTCAACAACATAAAACCAAACTCAGTGCAAATAGACCACTACTTGTGAAACTTTAATTCACTGGACATATTATTATTGTTTTCGTATTATATTCTTAGAAAGACAGACCTGGAGTTTATCAATGCATATGGCGGCAAAGAAGTCTTGCTTTTGTGCTGATCTTCAATTTTTGGGATTGTCTTGCTTATATCTTCATTCTTGACTTAAACTTGTATCCAAAATTTTATTTAATCATAATCTTACATATAATTTTATATGATGAAGTATCGTATTATTTTATAAAATGCTTTGTTTGATACTTGCACAAGGATGTTACTTTTATAAAAATGATATTTTATACAACATATACATCACCAACTTTAACTAATTATTTATGAATAAATTAGGAAAAATTATGCAGCTACGCAAATTTATACTACTTAATTAGTTATTATAGTTATAGTTTCATACCATTCGCGACTAATAGTAAGCATTAATTATTGGGGTTGACTTCGAGTTTGTATAATTCGTTGCATTTGTATAATTCGCAATAACAATTCTTCGTTTGATTTGTATTGTATACGGTGATTTGTATATGTATATGACGGTGATTTCCTTTGGTTCTTTAGTTTTATCATCAGATACATTCAATCTTTTTTTGTATAACTTTTAAGTTTGTATAAACGTATAGTTTTCGAATTTTGTATAATATACATTGTATGATGTGTTTGTGTGTTTGTATCAATTAAATATTTTGAGTTTATGTTTGTACAATTTTGAAATTTTTATTACTCAATTATACAAACATATATGTGAATTATACAACTCCTCCCTCTCCCAATCTCACTCATATTTCTCGTCCCTCTCCCATTCTCGCTCGTCTCTCTCCTCGCCTAACATGTAGTTATGAATCATTATTAGCAAACTATATCGTATGAAAAGTAATTAAGCTATTTTTAATAGTTATATGCCAAAGTTTCTCCAAATAAATTACTTATGTTAAAGAGTATCTATTTGGCTCAGCTTAAAAGCTGGTCAAACTGACTTAAAAGCTGATTTTTGACTTATTTAGCTGTTTGGCAATATTCAAAAGAACTTATTTTAAATTTTAAAAAAAACCTATTTTAAGCCAAATGTTAAAAGCTGGGGTAGGGGTACCTTTTTTTTTTAGCTTATAAACTGTTTTAAGTTGATCACATTTTTACCTTTTTGTCCTTAATATTTTTATATAATCTCAAAATTACCCACATAACCCTAACATCTCTTTCTTCCATTTTTTCCTTTTCACGTTTGGCATAGCTACTGAACTTCTTCCTGTTCTTCCAATTTGAAGTGAAGATAAACCTTGAAGTAAGTTTTTTCGATTACTTTTTTATTAGTTTTCTTCCTTTTCTCTCAATTGATGCCGATAACATGTTGAAAAATAAAAATTTATATTCCTCTTATAAATGATTTGTGATAATAAAGAAATATGTGAATGATAGACAATTATTATTACCTATGGATGAAACTAAAATAAATTTTAAATCGTTCTTTGATCTATTCAAATTATATATCTTTAAAATCTATAATAAGTTTATATTCCCCTTATAAATAATTTGTGATGAGAAAGAAATATGTGAATGATAGCAAAATATAATTATTTATGGCTGTAAAATATAAATTATTTAACTTTTATTATGTTAACAACTTTTAAGGGTATTTCAGACATTTTGATTTAAAAAGTTGTTTATCAACACTTATTTGTCAAACACATCAACAACTTTTTTTTTAACTTCAGCCCTTTTATCCAAACGCATAACTGTTTATTTTAAAAATAAATTTCAGAACTTTCAAAAATACTTTTTTAAAGCTGTTTTTATTAAGCCCATCCAAACGGGCAGTTAACAAACTACTTGTTATAACTAGGAGCATAAGTTATTTAGGTAAAAAATTAATTGAAGAGAAAATTATGAATATTTATAGATGGTGAGTTCCTCCATCTTTTCCTTACTTTTGTTTAATAAATATTTGTAATAGTATTTATAAATGCACATAAACAAATTAATTTTGAGCAAATTTGATTTGTATTAGTTTCTGCTTCCTCTCACCATACAAAATGTTTTCATCACCATATTATATTTTTATTTTTATTTTATTCCCTGCGCTCATTATATTTGTGTGTTTGTTAGTTGTTTGTTGACGTGAGTATACAATAAATAGATTAGTACTTATTTATTTCAAGTTTGACTTTTCATTTTTAGGAAAAAAAATTGTTATTCATCACACATTTTTCTATTTATGTTGTTTTAAAAGTTTATATTAAATAATATGGGACTCACACGTTCCCAAAGACTAGTTAATAAATAGTAGGGAAAATATTCAAATTTGCCCTTTTAATTAGAAAATTGGTCAGCCATGAACCCACCGCTAGGGGCTTGTGGCAATTTCAGCGCCACAATTGTAACAAGGATATGGATATCCAATTTTTTAACGGAATACAAAATTAAAACCTTTCTCAAAGTACAAAGGGAAAATATCCCCTTCCAAAAAAATAAAATGAACATGTACAAGGAAATAGAAATTGAAACATCTTGGAAATGAACACTTCCAGAGAAGAATATGAACTAGCAATGGGCATATACCCAGTTTCCATTACAAATAAATGTATCCCACTTTAACGCACTATGATAAAACATTACCAAAGCCAATTTGAAACCATGCATTACAATTCTTCATTTTGAATCTGATTAACCAAAATCCTAGAAACAAAAGAATATTTGCACAATGCACATCTCATAATTTTTTAACAAGTCCAACACATTATCTCCTCCTGTGAGTGCCACATAGGCAAAATTGAGTTTGACAGTGGCTTAATGTACAATGTGCCACCTTGGAAGATACAAAGAAGTAAGCAATGTCAGGCATCAGAGCAATCCCAGGTTAAGCCACAACTTGAAGTCCAACCAATATTGCCTCTTCTTTCAAACCAATGGAATATATTGCTCTAGGAAGTACAAACAACAAGCAGAAGCTTCTCCATATAGAAAAAAAAACGAAATGCTACAAAGCATCCTCTTATAAGGCCATTCAACCTCACAAATCGCGAGGAAAATTGCTGACTTGGCCTTCCTCCAAGACATCTTTGTTATTCACCTTATAACTTATCCGTATGCGCATGACAAGGGATTTCTGGGGAAATGAAGATAAAGATATAGCTATTACAAGAGCTGTTTTGGTTGTTATTCCAAACCACCCTTTATAAATGTTATATAAGACAGGGAACCACAAGAATTCAAGAGAAAAGTGAAAGGTGTAGTAAGAAGTGCACCCAGTGTCAACCTTTATGCGACCTGCATAATTTTGAAATGCAGTCCGTTCCAATAGCTTATAAACAAAATTCCATTACTAGTTTCAGTTTCTTATAGCTAAGAACAACATACATCTGTAGCTATCTTTTCAAACCTCCACAAGGGAAAATAATGTTCCAACAATTTCACGAGTTCTCAACCTATCTCATTTCATATCCAATTCACTCAGAATCCATATGAAAAGTAACCATGGTAAAAGCCTGAACTCATAAAACATATTTTCATTTTATTGTTTTGCAGATCGGCGTGCAATCATTCGATAATAGTTTTTCTCTTCATGAGCAAATGGAAGGAACCAAGTTTTGAAGTTAGTATTGATTCGTAATACCGTAACTCATATAAAATTGAACAAGCAACATGCCTACCAGGTTATCAGTATCAAATTGATAATAAACCAAGATGATATTTTTAAGATGAATTCTTTATGCTGGAAAAAAAAATGATAGAGCAGACACTTAGGAAAGAGTGACATTAAACTCATGAATCATATGATGAAACTCTGTGCAAGAGTGACAGAGGCACAGAGCAACACTTAGGAATACGACACGAGTGATGGAGCACTAGTTTGCATATGCCCAGTCCATCTACAATGGAGGCTATATTTTTTGCTAACAAGATAGATTGAAAATGGCTTAAGTCATCTGAGGACCCTTCAAGTTGTCCGCATAATTCACTTAGACACCTCAACTAAGACTAGTATCTATTGTACACTTTTATTTATTCACAACCTGTTCCTATTAGACCTTTTTCGATTATCAGTAAAAAAGGTAAGGTGTGTGAAATAAACTTGCTATGATGTGGCAAAAATTACTAATTGAAGATGACATGTGTCACTTGACCCCAACAACTATAAATTATTTTTTTTTATGTTAAAAGAATGAAATTTTTTCAAATAAATCTTATATTAATTTCTTAATAAAAATAAATGAAATGAAAATAAATTTTACTCAACCGCACCCTACCCAACCCCCTTTCTTCTTCATCTTCTCATCAATTTTTTTTTCTCAAATGATAAAAACCTTCACAACAAATTACTTGTTGATTTGATTTTAAGAAAAATAAATTTTGTATTCCTAATATGTGTGAGAGAGATATTTAAAGAGATTGATACAAAAGTGATGAAGAAGTTTGTCAATGGTTACTCATTCGGAAATCGATTGCAAAGAAAAATAAAAAGGACTTAGTGTTATTGAAAATTATTTTTCATTCCTAATACGTGATAGAGAAAGATATTCAAAGAGTTGGTACAAGAGTGATGAATAAAGGATGTTTGTCAATGGTTAATCATCTTAAAATCAATTGTAAGGAGAAATCAAGAGGACCTAATTATTTGATATTGTTTTTGATAAATTAAGTGGGTTTACAATTTTATATGAATTGTAATATTTATTCGAAGGTGACCAAAGTGGAGATGAAACGTCAACTTACTTTTTTATCCCAATATTCAAAAATCTATTTTCGCTATTTTTCTTGCAAATTTAATTACTTGATTCAATTTTTGTTTTTTATGAATGTTGAAAAGAAAAAAAAATGGAGATTCTTTAGTTGTGTTTGAAAATTTAAATTTAGGGAAGAAGATGACTTGAAGGCGGGTAGGGGTGCTCTTTCTTTTTTGACTAAAGAATATTATTTTAAAAATATGTGAATTATTTTAATTCATTCAAATGCCAGGTGTCAATTAAAAAAGAAAAAGTGTAAATTTTTTTTGGAAAAAATAAAAATAAAACAGTATTTCAAAAACTCACGCGCCCATAGGAAGTGAAAAACACTTCTTTTTCCATAATAGCATTTTATGTTTAATAGGTACAGTTTTTGAACAATTTAATTGCTCAATAGGTAATAGTCGTCCTTAAGGTGTCTAAATGAAATATGCGGACAACTTTAAAGGGCCGTGTATGACTTAAGCCATTAAAAATTTATTGTGAATGAATGGTGTTTTCATGGTTAAATCGTAGTATGCAAAGCTTCTGAATACGGACGAGGTGCAGTTTCCTCGTAGAGCAATTTGGATCCCAAAGACAACGAGAAAAGAATGTTTTTCCTCATAGTTAGCAACTAGTGGAGTAATCTTGAGAGTAGAGAAACTGAGGCAGAAGAAAGATCAGTTATGTTAGTTGGTGGTTTATGTGCAAGGGTGCAGGTGCAGATGCGGGTGCAGATGTCAACCATCTCCTCATTCAATTTCCGGTAGCTTCAAGATTATAATGGGAGATTTTTAAATGGTTTGGGATGTTTTGGGTGATGCAAAGCACAGTTAAAGAGGTAATGGCCAATTCCAGTATGTTGAGTTTGCTTTTAGTTATTGCAGTCATTTTTTAAAATAATAAGTTACCTAGTTCTAAGATGAATTTGAATTTTAGATATTTGTTAGATTGCTTCAATTGTTGAGATTATTTAGTCTTCTTAAATTTTTATTATGCAGATTTTCTCCAAATTATGTTAACAAGTTGGCTATTTAACGCCAGCCCTATTATGCTTTAATAAAATATTGAGACATTTTCAATCCTTCGATGCTGCCCCATTATTAGAAAATAACAACAGTGGTATCAAGAACTTCATTGATTTTAAAGGATCTGTGAAATCTTCTGAAGAACTACAATACATTTTTAACCCGTACAACCTACCTTTTAAACCCATCAGTGCTATCTTTTCAGCGCAAAGACTTTCCTAAACCATTTTTAACCAAAATAATGGCAAACAACAATTTCTCTTTGGATGCCCAAACAATTTTCACCGGTGAAAACTATCAAATGTGGTCAGTGAAAATAAATTCATATCTTGAAGCCTATGATCTGTAGGAAGTTGTAATGGAAATGTACCCTTACAAACTCTCCTTGCAAATCCTACCCTTGGTCAAATTAAATCTCATTTGGATGAAAAAACCAAAAAATTTAAAGCCAAAATTGTAATTCAAAATTCAATAGAAGATTCAATTTTTTCTAAAATCATTGCTTGTGAGAAGACAAAAAGGCTTGGGAAATTTTTTTTTAAAAAGAGAATGTCAAGGAAGTGACCGAGTCGGGCAAATGTAAATATTGAATTTGAGAAGAGATTTTGAATCTCTTAAGATGCAAGAGGATGAAACTATTGTTAAATATTAGACAAGATTTCTTTTATTATTAATAAAGTCAGGTTGCTTGGCGAGAATTTATTAGAGATGACAAAATAGTAGAAGATATTCTTGTGACAATTCCAAAGAGATTCAAATCTGAAATTTCATCTCTAAGAACAAGTGTTCTTTAAGCACAAGAGCAAGGAAGAGCCTTCAGACAAGACAAGATAATGTTACTGAGGGTGCCTTTTATGCACAAAACCAAAATGAAAAAGGTAATTATCCTTTTTGCAAATACTGCAAAAGAAAAACACACTAGGAAAATTTTTGTTGGTGGCGACCTGATGCAATATGTGGAAATTGCAAACATGCCAGTCATGTTACAAAAGTAAGCAAGTTGAAGAACAATCTTCAAGCACAAGTAGTAGGAGCATAAGTCGAGGAGGATTAACTTTTTAAAATTGTAGTTTCAAAAGCAAAGGAGGAGTGTTGAGTTCGCTTTTAGTTACTGCAGTCATTTTTTTTAAAATAACAGGTTACCTAGTTCTAAGATGAATTTGAATTTTGAAATCTGTTAGTTGTTTTAATTGTTGATATTATTTAGTCTTCTTAAATATTTGTTATGTAGATTTTCTGCAGATTATGTTATTAAATTGGCTATTTAAAGCCCCATAATGCTTAATAAAATATTGAGAGACATTTTCCATCCTTTTGTGCTACCCCATTTTTAGAAAACACCAACACGGTATCTTCGGGATCCAAATCGCTCTAGTAGGAAAGTCCACTTCCTTACTATTCAAAAAGCTTTTCTTAATATATGTATGTTGTTGTAATCATCTATGTTCATCTACTATATGTGGGCCTATTTCATTTGAATACAGGGACATATTTGTGTTTAAGACAAAATAGGGGGCTAAGAGAGGTTTCTAAGTCATACGATTTATTATATTTATTTCTAACCAGAAAATGTCTAGTAAAAGTGATCCAAGACAGAAAATGAACAATTCACTTACCTTGCCATGTTGGCTGTTTGTGATTCTCAACTTCTGTGTGATTGATCCATTACCATTTGCAGGTAGGGAATTACCGCTAGCTGGATCCAATTGCAGTTGAAGGAACTTCATAGAAATGACAATTAAGCTTAGTCAAGAGATGAGAAATGGTATATGTACTGAGAATTTGAAAATTAGTCCATCTATATTACGATTAACTTTTTTTTTAAACCATTACTATTGACATTCAAATGCAATTAATTGAAGGACCTGTATACCATGAATAACCCATTGCATTTAAACCTTCAGCAAATTGTTTTCAATTGTTTCTTTTAGAACTTCAAAGAAGGGGACGTGTTACTTCCTAGAACAATTCATAGACCTATTTACAACAGCCTTAGCCTTTCAGAAAAGTCAATCATGATGAGATATTTGCAAGCTATGAAATCCACACCAACGGCAATGTCCTTGTATAGAGAAAAGATTTACTGGCATACTTAACTGAATTTATACCTCATAACTACCAACTCTGCCTATGTGAGCTTGCTCACATTGCTGGTTCAAAGCTCGAATAAAGATGGAGGATTGAGATAGCGGGTAGGTTGGAAGCTAACATAAAGCTAGACCGCCTACCTAAGTGAAAGATTAGTTATATCGGCTAGTAGACCAACAAGAGTGAATGTTGGGCCATCAAAATCTAACTCATACACAAGGTGAGTGTGGCAAAGATGTGAATGTTAAGATGGATGTTTAATTAAACAAGATTAGATGTGATTAGAAATGACTACATCCATAAAAAAAATGCAAGTTGCACAAATTGAGGATAAAATGAACAGAGGTAGTTTGAGATGGTTTAATTATGTCCAATGTCAAACTCCAGATGCTTTGGTACATACGTGTGAACCATGGTGGATGGAAGTGTTTTAGGAGACGAGGTAGACCTAAAATCACATGGAAAAGAAGTTGTCTCAAAAGGACAATAATTTCTTGAAATCTATGCAGACATGGTGAAAGATGCAGCATAATAGAAGAGAAGTATCTTTATAGGCTATGCCAATCAGTTGGATATACCTTTAATATGATCGTATTATCCCTGCGAGAGATTCTAGCAGAATACATAGGCTTTGCCCCTCAAACTTCCCAAAAAAAAAATTGTTTTGACACTTGCACTAAGGATTGTACCTATTGACACAGGAACTCGAGGCAAATTGTGCCTATTAGATCCCTCAACGGCAATCTCTGCATATAAGTATGTGACTTTCAAACACACTGACATGCCAAAGAGATGAACCAATGTATAACACATGGAAAACACCAACAAAAAAGATACTGTTCTTTTCTACTCCTCCCTCTACATCCATTTTCTTTATTTTAATACCTTCATAATACCATCATCAGCCTATCTCAAACAATAAATCAGCAAATTTCATGAACCACACCGTTACTGGACTTGAGTTCCGAAATCAAACTCGAGTTCTTAAAAACTCAAAATTAGTATAAAAATTTCTGAAGATCAGTTACCAATGTGTTCTCCATAGTATTGCACTATTATATTTTTCTGTGATAATTTTGCTCTCGAAACTGCATCTACCTTTTTAGTTTTTTAACTCTTTTGGAGAAATAAAAAATAAAATAAAAGACAGAATTAGTTTCAAGAACAAAAATATCAAACAAATATAATAATAAATAGTTCAATACTAAGGAGTAGTTGACTACATTTTTAAAATGTTCTGTTAATAGTTATGCAAGAAGTAGTAATTGATTACTTTTTCTATAAAAAAGGGTAATTGACTACTTACTATTTTGACACAGATTGGTCGATTCTCACAAAAACTCCATGGCTAAATGAAGATATATGGCGTCTAGCAAGACAGAACAATAGTTCGGCTGAGACAGGCATGCCTAGCTCTTCAAAAAATTAGTTTTATCCTCTGTTTCTAGGGATGACAAAATCAAACCCAACCCGTCAAACCCGTTTAAGTAGGGTGGTTTACTGACCCGCCCATTCATAAGAACAACCCATTAAAAATTGGGTTGATATGTAACCCAAATTGGCTCATGAGTAATCTTCTTAAATACTTTTAAAAAACATGTTTTTCAATTTGATATGTTATATATAGCCATAATAAAGGAAAAAAATAATTTTACTAGGGGTACTAAAATAGTTTAAAAGAACAAATAAAACATTAAGCTTAGTAAACTTTGAGTTGGGTTGGGTCTTGACTCTTGTATAACCCATTTTGACCAAAGCAAATTTGGGTTGGGTTGGGTCGGGTCTTGACCCGATTTGTTGTCTTCACCCATTATGACTCGCCCTAATTTGACACAACCCACTCTATTGTCACCCCTATCTGTTTCCTCTCTCCCATAAGAATTACTTAGCTCTAGCCAATTTTCTCAAAAAAAAAAATTTTTTAATCACTTATAGACCAGCTATCTCAAAAAAGCAGACTGAAGCGGAAGATGACAAGATGCAACAGAACAAGGGGGACATTGGACTGTAGCTTGCGCAAAGGAAGAAGCTAATCAAACAGAATTGAGACACGGAGAAGAGGCGAATAGAGATTTTCGAGCCTGCAAGCAGCAAGCAACAACGGTCGTATTAACTACCACTGGCAATTTTCACAACTTTCATTCTAAACACGTATTGAACTTCCATTCCCAAAACCCCAGTTCCTCCATCAAAACTGATTAACAACCTGAAGAAGGCCTGGTCAAGTCCCATAGGTCGGAAAAAGTTGTCGGATTTTCTGAAAATGTCAAATAGAATTAAGTCTCCACATGGCAACAATTATTTTCTGATATTGTCTTGTAGTACTCTCGTTTGGGATGGTCTATACGACGGTGGAGGCAGTGGCTATAATAGTGACGGAAGTGGATGTGGAGGTAGTTTTTATTGGTTGCAGAACTGGTGGAGAAGAGATTGTGGCGGTAGATCAAAGCAAAAATCTAACTGAACAGGAGAAAAGGGCTTCTCATGCTCTCACGTGAGTTTACTACACAAGTTGTGCCGTGTCAGCACCGTGTCAGATAGGTATGTCTTTCAACTAACATCAAGTGCTCGATAGATACAACCTTTAGTTCAAGTATCTAAATAAATAAAACATGCATGTTTGAGCGACCGCTTATATACACTATCGAGAATCTTTATGCTATTAGAAAATGGAGAAACTTCCACAGATACTGAACAAAGGGAACTTTGGCTTCATTTATTGTAGTAAGATCACCCCTCTATAAGCTTTCCCTATCACCCTGATTAACTTCTTTCCGTCTGTTCTCTAGAGTTCAAGAACATGTTCTTGCCCATCCCTTATTTATCTATTAAGTCCATTTTCCACTAAAAGGCAACATGAAAAGCATCTATACTATAATACGTGAGGAAGGACGACAAAGCAACTGCTTTTATTTCATACAGTATTGATGAATTTAAATTAAAAAAGAATTGGTCAAGTGATAATACATGCTGAGAATATAACTAAGGCGTGCTCTCTCTTACGGCTTGAACTTTTAGATGAGATAGTAGCATACTTCAACACTGTATCAGAGAAGGAAACCGTCCTGGAATAGAATCTCACCACCACGCATTATCAAAAAGAATTTTCATGTGCTTGCCGCATGATTAAAGAATGAGGCCCATGATGAGTTCGAGATTCGGGACTCGTTTAGGGCTCTGTATAATACATTTAGAGCCTGTTTGGCTCAGCTTAAAAGCTGGTCAAACTGACTTAAAAGCTGATTTTTGACTTATTTAGCCGTTTGGCAATACTTTAAATAACTTATTTTAAGTTAAAAAAAACTTATTTTAAGCCAAAAGTTAAAAGCTGGGGTAGGGGTGCTTTTTTTTAGCTTATAAACTGTTTTAAGTTGACCACATTTTTATCTTTTTGCCCTTAATATTTTTATACAATCTCCAAATTACCCACATAACCCTAACATCTCTTTCTTCCATTTTTCCCTTTTCACGTTTGGCATAGCAACTTCAGCAATTTATCCAAACACATAACTGCTTATTTTAAAAATAAGTTTCAGCACTTTCAAAAGTACTTTTTTAAAGCTGCTTTTATTAAGCCCATCCAAACGGGCCCTTAGTGTCCTCAAATGCTTAATTTGTGCCATAAACTGATGAAAAATCCTTGATTTTTTGGTACATGATTGAGGAACAAAGCAAGGACACTAACATGCAAAAAGGAACAAAACAAACTGAAGAATTGAAGGAAGGAAATCCTGCTGATCACCAAGAGCGTTTGGCGAATCTCCGAAGGGCCACTTCCACCGTCTAAAGTTCCAGTGCGTCAGCCTTGAGGGAAGAAACAAATTGGTGACAAAAAGGAGCAATTGGCGCATCGCTGAATAGTTCCGCAATGCAGTGATAGATCAACTAAAGTTACAGAACCAAGGGTGCTGAATGACAAGGCGAAAAGGTGATAGAGGAGATCAAAGGGCGGCTCGTGGAGTGGATCAGTGAGCCCGACTTACTCCACCGGAAATGCCTATTCATAGCACATTTTTGGAAACTATAAATACGTTTTTGAACATTTAGTTTAGTAGGTTGGAACATCTTAAAATCTTTTAATTATCTTTTACATCTGGAAACAGTTCTCTCTAGAGTTTTTCCTTAGCTTTGAAGGATTGAAGAAATTCATTTTTGAGAAATTGGAAGTGCATTTTTGAGAATCATCAAATTGGAGCATTGTAAGGAGGAACTTACTCTTACCCAGTTAATGTATAATCAATTTGGTAACTATTTTTACCTTTTTATAATGTCCATCTAAAACCCCAATTTTTGGGGTGTGATCATGTGATTATGGGTTGATTTAGTTTATGGGAATGGCTAGTTGTTAGTTTAAGTGTTATTTAAAAGTGAGTTTAATCATTAATTGTGGCTTAATTTAAGAATTGTAGTTACAAATGCAGTTCTATTTTTGTGTTCTTGTCTTGCTCTCGAGAGAGGTTTTAGAACTAAGGTTTTTGATTAATGGTGTGTGGGTATTGGGGCCGAACTGGGTTTAGCTCGAGAGGGTGAATCCTAAACCCAACTCCACACATTTAGCTTGAGAGAGTGAATGGATTAAGGTGTGGGCTGCTCTTAATTTACATGCTTCTCGATGTTCGAAAGAAATTAGCTGATTCGTAGTAATTGTTCAGAGAAGTTACCTCCCTTATAGTCTAGCCTATTCACTATAATCTAGCTAATTACTAATAGTTGCAATTACCCATATGTCTATATTTGCCTATAATCGATCACATCCAAAGAATTCGTCTCCCTATTGTTATTTCATAGTTTTGTAAGCACTTGTAGTTTATAATCTAAAACCAAAACGCCCATCTGACATTCGTGTCACCCCTTTATTTGATATCTTTTTTTGATAATGTTTGTTCCTATGGCTGATTAGACCGCGTTTATACTTCTTGATTGAATTAAAAACACATACTACTACTTGTGGGATTCGACTCCAACTCATTTAGTTGAGTTTCATACAGATTTACGATCGTTGACACTTAAAATTGGAAGTAGTGTCTTTGAAATGTTATTAATCAGCCCACACGTGAGGGGGCGTGTGAGAATATAATTAAGTAAATGAAAATATGCTCTCTTTAACAACTTAAATTTTTAAATGAGAGTTTTACATACTTCAACAATTCCTAATAGTCCACCCCAATGTTATGGAACTGTGGTGCAACAGTTGTATTGTATAATAACTACCAACATGGTGTAAAGCCAGGAGGAAAAAACAATTAATGAACATTACAACAATGTAGTACACTTAACAAGCCGCTTGATCCCCAACCAACCACTACACCACACCACCGAATTCCACATCCAAGGTTAAGATATCTCGGAGTGGACAACATGAGGGTCTAACATTCCATAAAAGAATAATTGGCATGGGACTGACTATGATAGCATAAAGAAAACGAACGTTGCATCTAACTCAACCAAAAAAGCTAAGTCATGACATGACCATTGCCCAAAATCACACCAGGAGACAACAATTTATTCTCTTAGGGGTCGTTTGGTAGAATGTATAAAATAATGTTAAATAAAGTGTATTAGTAATGCTTGCGTTTGTTATGATGGGATTATTTTTTATACACTGTTTGGTTTGATATATTAGAAATAGCTGCTTGTCTACAAAAATACTCTGCTCACACTAACATTGGGTGCTCACTCTAACATTGGGAAACAGGAAATGTCTTGAGAGGGATTTGAGGGGTAGTCATGTCATTAATCAATTCAACGCATGAGTTGAAACCCTTAGTATTAGTAATACACACCTCAATACACAATAGAGTGTATAAATAATGCAAACATTAGTTATACATAGGCTAAAAAAGTGCACCAAACAAGGTACTAATAATACATAAAACTAAAGCATGCATTATTTTTCTAATACACTCTACCAAACGACCCCTTAGGACACTTACAAATGCCAATCGACATTCCAAGTGGAAAATAAAGAACAAAAACAATAACGCAACAAATTAACAATGGATGATTGTTCCTATGTTTACCTTTGGAACTGCTGCCTGGAAGATGAAGTCCGTGAAAACATCTTGTGACTTATTTGTAAAACTACCGTCAATAAGTGTCATCTGTGGATTTCCAGGCTGCTTTGAGATGTTGAATGTTAATCTCAAGGAGCTGCTCTCAAATGCAGTAACTGATGAATGTGCTGGACCATTGCCTTCTGTAGCTTAAAAAGATGGTGTCAACATTTCCAGAATACAATTAGACTGGATAACAGGTAACAGAGCTGATAGAGATAGTACCAGACGTCGGTGGACTGGAAGGAAGCCCGTTCAATAAATCCAACATAGAAGAATTTCCACCTGTAGAAGAGACTTGAGCTGAAGGAGCTGAAGGTGTGGACAATCTATCTAATATATCCAATGGACTTCTATTGTCTGTATTGGAGGATAACACCTGAGGTGTAGATGGGCTGCTCTGAGCAGGAGGAGTTCCAATCGATAGAAGATCCAGTAAAACATCAGAGCCTCTCTTTTGGGCCTGATTTGCATCTGAAATTCAAAGAGAATACAGAGAAAAATCCACTATGAAGTCAAGTTTAAATTAGATATCAGTTTGTGCTTAGACTGGTCAAAAGATACCAATCTAAAATTTTAAATACAGTAGGGAGAAAAAGAAAAAATGTGAGGATCAGAATTATAATTCAGGAAAAGCATTCTGAAAGATTCATACAATACACAGTAAATGTGACCTGGTTGCAAAGAGACAGGCATCAAATTGACACCAAGAAGATCTTGAAGAAACTCTCCACCAGAAGAGCTAGGTGCAGGAGCATCATCTAAACTAAGATCGAGCAAGTCAGCAACATGAGCAGTACTGAGTTTGGCAGATCCATTTGGAAGATTAACAGAAACTCCTTGTGAAGTTGACACAGCAGCTGGCACAGAACCAGCTCTCCTTCCGCTGAAGGTTGCTTCATCCAGAACCGGCATTCTCTCTGCGAGTGAAGACCTGAAAACGTACATAGCTGCTCAGCATAAATCGCACTAAAAAGACAACAAAAGGAATAGAAAGAACTTTCTACAAGATATCAACCAAACCTCATATTCTGATGCCTCTCGATAATAGAGTTAAATTCAGTAGCTCTCTGTTGTAGTTCAAGCACAAAACTTCCTTTATACTGACCAATGATATTATTTATCCGCCTGCACCAAACAAGAGCATTGCAGATTACTAACTCAAGTCACACTATGAGACCAACCATTTATTAGTTTCCAACTATTTGCAAGGGCATCGAGCATCAAGTAAAGATATTAAATAGGAAAAAATACAATTTACCAAGTTTGAGTCATGTTGGATTGCAAGAAGAGATAACTCTCCCAAGGAACAATACAGCATCACAGTCTGAGAGTGATGTAGACAAAAAATAGATAAAATAAAAAGTCTAATACAACGCTTCCTTCAGCGTGATAAAAAAACAGGTTTGTCAAGAAAATGTATCTCAAACTGCAAAGTTAGTTCAAATGGTAAGAAGTATCCTGAATCGGTTGAATCAATAAGGAGACTGAAGCCCATACAATTAATCATGTGCGGTTCTAACTTAGGGCAAGAAATTTGGAAGGAGCAACATATCATGCATCGCCCTACATTGGCTAGTCTAAGATGCCCCATAGCTTTTGTCCGACAATGAAGGAAGTACAGTGCAATGTGAGGTAAACGCGCATCACAAGATTGAACTCAACCAAAAGACTAAAACCTGATATTTAAGTGGCAGGAGGATAAAGGGGGAACCCCATTCTCCACAGAGTTTTGGACATCCAACTAGGGCTGGCCAAATAACCCAGATATTTCTTGGTTAACATTGGGTAGTCCAACATCAAAGGTTCTTGTATCTAATGGCTATGAATCCATATTAAGGAAATGGACCTTGGACCTTATTCAACCCCAAATGCTACAGCAAGCAAAATGGAACTTGAACCTAACTCAACCCAAAAGTAGCACATGAGATGAGGATTACCTGAGATCATAGAAGAAGACAACATCCTGTTCCTTCAACTAAAGTAAGACTTTAATAAAAATACTCGTACGCTCAAATTGCACACCTAGAGCATGGACAATATAACATAAGGGACCACCAATGGGTAAACCAAGAATGGGACATCTAATTTATTCAAGCTACAAAAGATAGTCTTAGTTTGTCTAGTTTGTCCACATTCTATCGTGAGTCATGTCAACTTGCGAAACACACTCGCACTAGCTCTCCACGTAATGTTGAGAGTCTAGCAAAGCCAGTTTTTTCGTTAATTTATTCTGATACTTTGGGTCCTAGCAGAGTCCATTCAACCTTAGTATTTTGTTATTTTGTTGGTTTGATTGGTAATTATTGAAGATATACTTGGGTTTTTTTTGTGTGTGAATGACCATTCTGTATTGTTTTCAATACATTCAGATAGTTTTAGTGCTAAAAAAGAAAATCAATTTATGTTCTGTTTGTACTTTTTGTAGTGATAATGTCTTAGAATACTTATCCTCCTAGTTTCAATAGTATGGCTCACAAGGGAATTGTTCATTAGACATCTTGTTTGTACACCCCTTAGCTAAATGAGGTAGTAGAGCGAAGTATAGGCACCTCAATGAGACTGCTCATACTCTTCCCATTCTATCTCATGTTCAGGTTGTGTTTTTAGGGCGATGTAATTCTCACATCTTGATATATAATTATTGAATGTCCACATCTTCCACTTAGAATCAGATTCCTTATTTAGTATTATATTTTTTCCTCGGGCACCTCTATACTCTCTTCCCCTTTGAGTCTTTCAGAGCACATGTTTGGTTCATACTTTAGCCCCAGGGAAATTCATGCTCTCAAATGTCTCTTTCTTGGTTATTGTCGGGTTCAAAAGGGGTATCGTTGCTACTCACCTAATTTTCTTGGCACCTTATGTCAATCGATGTCACACTTTTTGTCTTGACCTTACTTTACATCTTCTTTGGGTTATCCTAATATCTTTGAGGTCTGACTTATACCAACTTTTGGGTAATCTACGGTTACATCCAGATTTCCATCTACGGAGATACCACTCCTGACTTATCATCGTCACCCACGTCCAATATCAGCCCCAAATGTTTCATGTCCTGCACCAGGCCCTACATCTAATATGAATGTCCCTCCAAGTCAAAGGATTGCATTTCAAAAAGGTATATGGTCCACTCGTAATATAACCCTCAACAAACCTATTAAATTCATGACTCCGTTATGTTTTTGTATCATCTTTGTGCTTTTTTTTCATCCCTTAGTTTAGAGGTGAAGCACTTTTTCATCCAAGATAGCGACAAGCATGATTGAAGAGATGTTTGCTTTACAAGCGAGTGGTACTTAGGCTCTTGTTCCTTTTTGCTTAAAGTAAATCTATTGTAGGTTTGTCATTAGGTCTATGGAGAAAGGTGACAAAAGGCAACAAGGACCTACCTCGCCTCGTGGCGCTCACTTTTTTGAGTTGAGGCGCCAATTAATACCAAAAATTTAAAATTTTAATTGCATATATAAATATCCAAAATTTTAATAGCAATAATATGTATTACAGAGTTCAGCTTCAGTAGCTCCAACATAAAAAGAAAAAACAGAACACTCACTAGTCACTAACCACCGAAAACAGAGCACTAATCCACTCCTTCCAACTGAAAAACAGAGTAGAGAGAAGAGAAGAAGAAAAGAAAAAAATGAAGAGGAACTACGTACATTAGCTGAACAACAGCCACGAAGAAGAAAAACGAAGGTCTTGTCCTCACTCTCAAAGGGGTCGCAACTAGCGAGGATGAGGAGCGTAGGTCTCGCAATAGAGAGAAGAGTAGCATTTCGCGGAAGGTTTGCAAAAATACCCAAAAAAAAACCTAATGTTGGCTTTTAATTATTAAATCAGACCTTTTAAAAAAATTAAAAAGGTGACGCCTATCGCCTCGCCATGTGGCCTATCGCCTTTCAGTCGCCACATCTCGCCATTCTGAAATCGCCTCGCCCCGCCGGTAATACACAATGCTGCCTCTTCTCGCCTCGCCTTTTGCCCTTGGCGAGAAGGCTCGCCTTACAAAACACTGGGTCTAGATGGCAAAGTTGATCAGCTTAAAGATTGCCTTATTGCAAAGGGTTATACACAGATATTTGGACTTGATTATAGTGATTCTCTCTCTCTCTCTCTCTCTCTCTTTCTACTAAAATAACATTTATTCGTCTTTCTATGTCATGGTTGTTCATCAATGGCCTCTTTATCAGTTGAACATTAAGAATGTTCTTCTCCATGATGACTTTGAGGATGAAGCTTTTATGGAAACAACTTAGTTTTTTTTGTCTAAGGGGGAGTCTAGTAGCCTTGTATGTCAGCTGTGTCAACCACTCTATGGCCTGAAACAATATCCTTGAGCATAGTATAGGTAAGTCAACACAGTAATTTCATGCCTCGTAGTGAAGTTGATCACTTTATGTTTTGTTGGCATTCTGCTCCAAATTTGTGAATTTTTTTTTAGAAAGTTGACATTTTATAAACAAAACAGACCAATAGTGTAATTTAGTAGTAATTACATCAGTAGTTTACAGTAAGCAAAAACCAAAGATATATATCATCTCTACCCCTCCTAAGCTATCCAAAAGTTGAGTAATATCCTCCTCCTTTTTGGGGAGGACATAGTTATATAAAAAAAAATAAAAAAGGTTATAAGGCAGTTCAATTTCGAACTCGAGAAAGGGATGCACTTGTTTTTGGAACATCTCTGGTTCTTTTCTTGTCCACTAGATGCAAGCGAGGGTCTTCCATCTCTCTTTGTGGCCTGACATGTTTCCTTCTCTATTCAAGCATGCTAGAGCTTCTGATGTATACCTTGGCATGAACCAACTGATACCCCACAAATTAAAAAACACTTGTCATAGTTTCTCTGTCACTCTACAATGGATGAAGAGATGGGTTCTTTTTCTCTGTTTCTCTTTCACAAAAAAAGCACCTAGAACATAATTGTCTTCCCCTTTTCATTAGATTGTCCTGGCCTCCTGGGTCAGTACTGCTTGCCTGGCTACCAGCCAGGCGAAACAAGCCACCTCGTGAGGTGTTTTAGATTTCCACATCATCTTCCAAGACCCTGGTAAGGGAATTGCAGCTGGCCTATCAAGGTGCTTATGAGCTGATATTACTATGAATTTCCCATTTTTGGGATTTCGCCATTGTAGACTGTTTTCATTTGTGTCAAGGTTATTGACCCACTCCAATGAATTGTAGAAATCTGTTACATTGCCTATCTCCTAGTCATTTAACATTCCCCTAAAAGAGAGGTTCTATCCTTGGGTGCCCCTAACATCTACTATTGCTGCCTCCTTTTGTTGGTTCAGGTTATAGATCCCATCACAAGGTACAACTATTTCAAGGGGTATTAACCAGCGCAGACGTCTGGAAGTTGTATCATCATTCCACAAACCTTGTTCTCCAGAGACAAACCTCCATGGTCACTTCAAGAGGAGACTCTCATTCTGTACTTTAAGGTCCTTTATGCCCATTTCCCCTTCTCTTTTATTGTTGATCAGAGCATCCCATTTCACCAAGTCATACATTTTTCCCCTTATCCATTTTCTTGCCATAAAAAGCTCCTCCGGTTGGAGTCTAGCTCCTTTAAGACACTCCCTAGCAAAGGAAATAATGACATCATTAAGTCAGCATAGCATCAAGTATACTATTTATTAAAGTCAATCTTCCACCCAAAAAAAGGTATTGTCTTCTCAAATTTACCAGATTCTTTTCACACGTTTGGTGGTTTATGTTGACGACATTGTTATCACTGGCAATGATAAGAATGATATCACTATATCAAGCAACATCTCTTTCAGTGTTTTCGGAATAAAAAAAGACCGCGGCACATTAAAGTATTTAAAAGGTAATGAAGTTGCATAGACTAGATCAGATATTGTTACTTCACAACGAAAGCATGCCTTAGACATTCTTGAGTTGATGCCTTGATGGAATGATGAGATGTGGACCCATTGACACACTTATGAATCTGAGTGCTAACTCCTGCCAAGGAAGGGAGAATCACTCAGTGATCTGCAAAAGATATAGGCCCCTAGTTGGTAAATTTACTTATCTCATAGTGATGAGACCCTTTTTTTTTTTTTTGAAAAAAGGGTAACTTTGTATTCATATTAAAAATTCATCATCCAAGAAATGATGAATTGGAAACTTACATCCCATAGTGTGATGAGACCTTACATTTCTTTTCTTATGAGTGATGTAAGTTAGTTTATGGAATCTCCATGTGATGGTCATTGGGATGATGTTCTTAGCATTCTACTATATATAAAGTTAGCTCCAGGAGAAGATTACTCTGGGAGGGTTGTGAGTTGTGACCATGAGCAGATTGCCAGATCATTTGATCACAAAAGTTGATTGGGCAGGATTATATATTGATAGACATTCTACATCTAGATAGTGTTTTAGTAGAAGGTAATTTGGTGTTTTGGAAGAATAAGAAACAAAATGTGGTTGCTTGATCTAGAGAAGAAGCAGATTATCGAGCAATGGTTGCAGCAAATTGTGAGCTAGTTTGGATTGAAAAGTTGCTTAGAGAATTAAAATTTGGAGAAATAAGTCTAATGGAGATGGAACTTGTGTTTGATAACCAAACAGTCTTTCATATTGCATCAAATCTGGTATTTCATGAGAGGACTATGCACATACGTTGAGATTGATTGTAACTTTACTTTATTAGAGAAAAGATACCCTTAAGAGGTATTGTTCAAATTTATGAACTCAAGTGATCAACTTGCAGATATTTCTACCTCGATGATCCTCGTATTAGTTACATTTGTAACAAGCTTGATATATATGACTTATATGCAACAGCTTGAGGGGGAGTTTTAAAATAGGATTTATATATAGGGTTATAAGTCTATAAATAGGGTTCATAGTTTGTAATAATATAGTTGAAGCATCTTCATAAAACTTCCTGAATCTCTGTTTCTCCACTTAACAACTAGCCCACGTGATAAGAATTGTCCAAGATCATATAATGAGACTATAACTCGTATACCTATCCCACGTGGGAGTCTAACAAGGTTAAACGAATGAAGATGTCTTCAAGAAGATGAGTATTATAGCATTTAAGTGGAGAATGGTAGAGGGGCGGGCCCACTATCCACCGAGTTAGAAGGTTGTGATTGGTCCATAGGACGGTCACATGCGGATTTCTCGGTAAAAACAAGATGAGTATTATAGAACTAAAAGAAGTTGTATTGAATTGAGATGAAGATGGACAGGTAGCCTTTATAGAGATCAAACATTCTTTCTAGAAAGCAAAAACCCAAGAATCACCACCGGAAGGCCCCACACCTTCAACAAAATTACTTGATTGCCCAAAGAATGCCTTGAAGTTGATCAACATTGGGTGTGAAAATACTAACTCAGAGGCTAGAATATAACAAATGTGAAATACATGCTCACACCATACAACACGTGTTAGAACATGTTGATTAACCAGGCAAGAGACGTCATCCGCTCGCAAAGGAAAAGGAGTTGCCTCAGCATAACTTTAGGATTACATCAAATAATCAAGGCAAATGAGCTAATTAATGACAAAATGAAATGGACTTGGCAAGGTTATATGGAGTAAGGATTAAAATAAGAACAGCCTCTGGCTACCAGAAAACTAGCAAGGGATCACTCACTGGACATCAAAGGCAGTGGTGTCAGTACTGTTCTAAATGGCTGAAACTTATTTGTCTTAAATAAATATCAGAATTATAGGATGGAATTATATACATGTTTTCAAAATCATCAATATAACCTTATTGAACGAAAATGAAAAGTTCATTGGCTCTTTAGAAACTTAGGAATCAGTCAATTAACCAATCATATAATACTGATGGAAGAAACATTAAATTATCCATGGTGCTTGAATATAATGTTGTTTGGCATCCTAAACAGAACATCACATCATTGCTTAAATTAAACCGGTTAATGAACAAAGTTTTGAAATTTATGAATAGTTGAGAAGCCGTGAGAGGCTGAAGATTATAAGGCACAAGAGGCAGATTTTATTGTTCAGACTATTTACCAGAATGAACAGTCACACATAAAAATAGAACATGATAGACTATATATTATAGGTGAACAGCACAAACAGATATCAAACTGAATGAACTTTAATCCTGGCAGAAATGTCAGCTGATGGATAAGATATATGTGCTTCATATACTCAGGAGCATTTTACACATAGTAGAAAAGAATACATACTGTGAACAAGCTGGAAAGCGACTGGACAGCTTTAACAAAGCAATCAGACACATTGCCTGAGATGTGAGATCACATGAATGGATTTTGATGGATGTCTCCAACACATCCACAGCATCCGACTCTGTCACCTGCTCCAAGAAACTACATCATATAGGCCCCAGAAGGTGAAAACTAAAAAAGCTGAAATTAAAAACATGCACCGAACTTCAAATAGGCAAGAAGCTAAATTAGTTTCAAAGAAATACTGAAATAGAATACAAAAGTAATTCAGTATTCTTTTTGATAAGTCATGGTGATGATTATAAGCCATCTTTTTGAACTGTCCATCCTTTGTTTTAAAAATTACATCTTTATTTTACTTAAGCATATTACTAGATGGCAGATGCACATAATAACAATGATGTTTCACAGTATATTATCCTATTCTAGTCTTGAAATGCATGAGTAGCAGCACATTCAGTAAAACGTTTCGTTCTTTCACAGGTTCACTCTCCCCTTTTTTCTCCTTCTTTAGTATTTTGGAAGGATAAGGAATTTCTTGGAGACCTGTATTTTATCAAGGACTTAAAAATCACATCGGACAAGTTTACATACATTACCACATTCAACAAGAGTATAAATTCATTATTAATAAACTTCCAATTAATGTAAGAGAAAGTTCAACAGTTATAGTTATTGTCAACACAAACATAGTGATTTACGTAGAGGATGACAATAATGAATGAGAAACTTAATCCAGAGAATGTTGGATCACAAATAAAATAAAAGCTGGTCAAGAATAGGATGCAGGACTTATTTGGAAAAGATATATTCATAGATCGTATTTGCTAACAACTGTCCACAGGCATGAACTCACAGTTGTGGGTTCTTCTATGTCAAGCCTTCCAAAATTGTTGACTAGCATTTCACCATACTCTCCAATGCACCAAACTGCTACTCGAAAGAGGGTTTCCTAACAAACAATCAAACAGAATACAGTAAACAATATGTTTAGTGTGTATATATATACACACTAAACAATATGGACATATTCAAGACCAGAAAATTGTTCATGGGCTACAGGAACCAAGATTCCGATATAAGATAAAGGAACAGTGTGATGTACCTGATCCCTTGCTTTTTGCACAGCTCTGTACAAAGAGCGTACAGCATATCCATGGAGGTCGGAAGCATTTGTAATCACCACAATCAGAGCATGCCACACCTCATCCTTGACATAGTTTCCAGCCTACATCACCCCCATCATATTAGTACTATTTACACCACAAAGGTAGGGAAGGAAGAACAAGTAATCAACCAAAACAGGCTAGCAAGGGATTTCAAATATGTAGAGTCAAATCTACAGCCCGCAGCATAAGCACATTCATCAGTAACTAAGCCTCATTTGTTTGCACTTAATGGAAGTCTTAATCTGAATGGTTCAAACTTTAGGCCATAAAAGCATTTGTTTTCGTTAAGATTTAAGCACTTAACTTGTTTGACTAGGTCTTAACCATTAAGATCTTGAACAAACTTTTATTATCATTAAGAGGTATTCTTGTGTGGTATAGTATTGACCAGCACTATCTGCCACCAACCACTAACCTTTCCTTAATGTTAAACTAGTATAATACCCATGCGACACACAAATGTTATCTCCCTTTAATTTAATATCATAACCATTCCCGATTATTCTTCTCAAGTATCATGAATATAAAAATAATTGATTCAAAATATATGTTAAACACAACAATAATCTTTAAAAAAAATTTACAAAAAGCAACATTAAAAAAAGTTAAAAACTAGTTAAGAAAAGTGAACCAAGAAAGCAAAAGACTAAAGAAAGAAGCAATATAAAGAAAAGAAAACAAAAGCTTATAAAAATGTTGTAGCTGGGAATCGAACCGTGAAAGTAAAAGCAAACGTATCCACTTATTTCTGAATTTCAACCAAAGCACTCACGCATACTTATAGCTTATGGGTGCTCTTGAGTTTTTATATAACAATATTAAGAAATTTCTATATAACAATTTATAATTTATGTTGGGTCGATGGGTGCTCGAGCACCCGAAACGTGATATGTGGGGCCGCCCCTGCTAGCAACCAACACCACTGTCAACCACTACTATCGACAGCTATCGCACCTACCACCTCCATCATTATAAATATATCCATTGCCACCATCGTCTTCGAATTGTTGCCACCTCGACTACCATTATTGCAACCAATCTCTACTACCAACCAAGTACGCCATCATCACAACTAGCACCACCTCCAACTATCACCAACATATCATAAAGAACCACACATTCTTCAACTATCACCACCACTGTCGTCACCGATGTCGCAACCTCCACCACCATTGCGGTCAATCCGTACTGCAAACAACCTCTATCATCACAACTAGCATCGCTGCCAACTACCACCAACACATCGTCAAAGACCACACTTTTTTTAGCCACCACCATCAACATTGTCAACTACTAACATCAACTTCACCATCACAACCACTACCTATCGCCACCATCATGACAATTACTACAATACCAACTACCTTCTCCATCACAACTATCACCACCATCATTTTTAGCCACTGACACCAGCCATTACCACCACCACCCCATCATAAAAACCATCTCTACCATCACTTGTGAACTTATTGTTTCATTTTTTTAATCAAACAATGGTTTTATTTTATTTTATTAAATTAATTTTTTCTCAAATTTAATTTTTTATTTGAGTCGTGTATTTATTATGTGTACAAAAATAACCTATGTACATTTAGATATTGAAAAACAAATAGTCCTAATCCTTCAATACACATATGCATAGATAACATCTTAACCATTTAGATGTGTATTTATACAACAAATGAAGCCTAAGTGTCTTTACATGTCTGAGATTATGAAGTTGGTTCTACAACAGTTGATCAAAGGAAAGTATAATAACTAGCATTTAAAAGATAATATCTTCAATTCAGAAACCTAAATGCGACAAAACCTTTGGCAAGCTGGATGTATTTCAAAGAACCTGAATAACATATCGAGATACAAATATGGGTAGAGGCGCCGGCGAGAATCATCTCCGGTGGGGCAGAGTAGTGCTTTTGAAGGACCAGCGGTCTATTGAAAGGACCGATCCTAAGGTGAATGAAAAACTTTTAGGTTTTACAGAAATGTCAGGTCACGTGGGGTCGTCCTATGACCCTGCAATTTCAAAATTGCTAGCTGATTCCTCACGTGCGGGTTTTAAGTCTCTTTTTAAGAGGAATAGGCTGGTACACAAGGGGGAAAAGTTGGGCCCAGATCTGTTGGCCCAAAGTATTTTAATGGAACAAACAAAAGAAAGTGGCCCATCTTCTTTAATTGATCTGTTTACGGTAGAACTGAAGCAAACAATATCTCCTCCACTGCAGTTTTTCAAAATTGCCCAGAAGAACTAGAAATAGGGCAGATGCCAAGGATAAATATCAAAAAGAAGATTCATGAGGAGAGAGAAGGGAGAGAGAGGATAAATATGACCCAAGGAAGTCCTAGAAACTCTACAGCCCTGGATAATTTTTGCACGCAACATTGTACCCCACAAAGGCTCGAGAAAAATAATTCCAGTCTGATTTCTATAGAAGAAGCATTTCCCTGAAGAATCTGGAGGAAGAAGATGATCCAGAGTTTGATATGCCAATCTAGATTCATCAAAATATACTCAAGTTCGCCAAAGATTTTGGTGTTGACATTAAGGGATGCAAAGTGGAAGCAACAATGCTATTTATGAAGATAGACAGTATGAGGCAGATCAACAATGATAAGGGGAAGGAAATTGCTATAGTGACTTTAGCAGTCAAAGGAGCAAAAGAACTAAAGAGCTTGGAATGTGGCAACATCTTCAGAAGAAAGGGAACAAGACAGGTGATCAATGATAGTCAACATCATATCATGGAATGTGAGGGGTTTGAACCAGGCGAACAAAAGGTGTATAATCAAGAACTTCATTCATAGTTGGAAAGCTGACATTTGTTGCTTTCAAGAGACGAAAATTGAGGGAGAGATTGGGAGCTTCGTGAAAGATTTATGGGCCAACAGATTAAATATTGCCAACTGGAAGCCGGTGGAACCAGAGGTGCTATTTTAATTATGTGGGATGGGAGAGTGTGGTCAGGGAAATTAGCAGCCTAGGAGCTTACTCCATTACATGTAAGCTCACTGGGATAAACAAAGACTTAATTTGGTTTCTCACAGGCATTTATGCTCCAAATATTAGGGTAGAAAGAGAGGAAGTCTAGTGGGAAGTTGGCTGTGCTAGAGGTTTATTTGATGGCCCGTGGGTGGTTTGCGAAGATTTTAACACAGCAAGATTCCCATCTAAAAAAAAGAATTACTCCAGAATATCTAGAGCAATGAATGTTGGACTTTATTGAGGACATGGGATTGTTGGATCCCCATTTAGTAGGGGCAAGTATACTTGGAGGAAAGGGGACAGGCATGACACAGCATCCAGATTAGATAGATTTCTCTTGTCTAATGAATGGGATGAAGTATTTAGAAACATCAAACAAACATTATTACACAAGGTTACCTCTGACCATAATCCCATAATGCTTCAAAGTGGGAATTGGAAACCCATGAGGTCCTATTTCAAATTTGAAAATTGGTGACTACAGAGGGTTTCCTGGATAGAATGAAGGAATGGTGGAGCTCTATAGCATGTGAAGGGAGGCCAGACTTTATCCTAGCGTTCAAACTGAAAGCTCTTATGGATAAATTGAGGGAATGGAGTAAAACATCCCAAGGAAGCTTAGCCTCTCAGAAACAGTGTTCTCAATCAAATTGCAGAATTAGAAGACGTGCAAGATCAAAGAGCTCTTCATGAAGATGAGATTAGACTAAAGGCTGATCTCCTTATAGAGTTCCAAAATTTAGCAAAATTTGAAGAGATATCTTGGCGACAAAGACCTAGGGTTACTTGGTTGAAGCAGGAGATAAGAACACAAAGTTCTTTCACAAAACTGCTAACTCTCACCGGAGATACAATAACATTGACGAATTAAATGTGGATGGTGAAGCAATCAAAAATCCAGAGTGAATAAAAAAAGAAATCATAGACTTCTACCAAAAGCTATATGCTGAAACTGAAACATGGAGACCCTCTGGTGGCTGCAGGGAAGGGCACAAAATTTCTGAAGAAGACAATAGGATGCTACAGGGGGAATTTGAGAACCAAGAGATATGGGAGTGTGTAAAGCTTTGTGCTGGAGACAAAGCTCTGGGTGCTAATGGTTACACCATGGCCTTCTATACCCACTGCTGGGAGGTTGTTGGGGAGGAAATCACTGTTGTAGTAAAAAATTTACAGGAGAGATGTTTCTTTGAGAAAAGCTTCAACTCCACCTATGTGGTGTTAATTCCCAAAAAGATGGGTGCAAAGAAACTCACAGATTTTAGACCCATTAGCTTAATTGGTAGTGTGTATAAAATAATCTCCAAGGTGTTAACTGAGAGGCTTAAAAAGGTTATGCACAAGCTAGTGGACACACAACAACTTGCTTTCATTAAAGGAAGAGAGATCATGGATGCTATTTTAATGGCTAATGAATATGCAGATTCTAGGATTAGAGTAGGAAATGGCATGAAGGTCTTCTTCTGGGAGGACAACTGGTTAGAACAAGGCTCCCTAAAAACCCTCTTCCCAGATATCTACATTCTGAACCAACAAAAAAAAGACACTGTAGCAAAAGTTTGGTCAAATCTGGGATGGAATGTGAGTTTTAGAAGACCTTTAGATGATTGGGAGATCCAAAGGCTAGTAGATTTCTTTCGAATCCTTGAACAATTCGAAGGAACCACCACCTCCCAAGATAGATTCTTTTGGAATAATAACTGCAACGGGAATTTCAGAGTGAAGGAAGCTTACAAAAAGTTGAACTCTTTCACGCATCAGGTTACTGGCTGGCCATGAAAACTTATCTAGAAAGTTAACATACCTCCTAAAGTGTCCTGCTTCACTTGGCTACTAGCGAAGCAGGATGTCTTGACTCAGGAGAACCTCATGAAAAGGGGTATCCAACTAAGTCCTAGGTGTTTCCTGTGTGGAGAAGGGACTGAAACAGTCAACCAGCTCATTCTTCCCGGTAGGATCACTAATATTTTGTGGAGCATTTTCATCAAATCGAAGGACCCACTTTGGGTGATGCCAAGAGATATTGTCCAAGCCCTGAAGATATGAGTAGCTTTGCCTACATTTCTGGTCATAGAGAAAGATGGAAGATCATCCCCACCTGTATCTTGTGGTCTATGTGGAAAGAGAGGAACCTCAGATGCTTCCAGAACAAAAGTAACAGCATCCAGAAGATGAAGATGAATTGCTTGGTTTTATTTCACTTTTGGTGTAAACAGGAGTATATGGAAGATCTAGAATCAGTAATGAATGCTTTAGGCACCTTGTAATTTTTGTTTATTTAGGATTGACGATCTTCCTGATACTCATTTGTAATAAATAAACCTGTAACAAGTTGTGGCAGGTTTGATTTTTTGGAATATAATACAAGACTGTTACCTTCTCAAAAAGAAACATATCGAGGATATCCCTAGCTGTTTTTTTGGACAATATTGATAAAGAAACTTGAGGTGCTTTTTTACAACCAAAAAAAATCACATCCAGATTTTAATTTTAAATGTTTGTCCAATTTAGCTATAATGTGGTGGATATATATGATGAGGGGAAATTGCTATATTTGGTATGCTCATTGCAGAACTGAGCTTCATTGTGCTATTGTATCAGTTGTATCCCAGAGGATTAAAAAAAATTGTGGAATTCTATATTTGGTATACCTGATTCCAAAAAAAAAATTGATATAGAGAATGCATATAGCCAACACAACTAATCTGGAATTGTGGCATAATTGTTATTGTTGTAAAGGATCATCCTACTAACATATATTTGTGAAATGGCGGTAAACTTGTCAGAATCACAAAAGCCTTTCACTAATAGAAATTTAATAAGAACTTTTTACTCCACTATTAAGAGGAAAGCCGCCACATATAACAAAAACTCCGTACTACTGTAACCTCTGCATTACCAAAGTTTAGCGCATAGAATATAGTTAGCTGCGTTCATGTCCAGGTAATAAAACATAAAAAGGGTCATTAAGGGAAAGACAAGATGGCTTAAAAGTTAGAAACACCACATCACATTGCCACAGAACCAAAATCATATTGTAGCCTGCACACCAACAATAAACACATAGGAGCACCATAAAATATTGATTTCAACGATAATTATGATATATAAATTTATTGAATAAACGAAAAAGAGATTTAAATTTATGAATCTACCAGTTTATGCATACCTCAGAGAGAACCTTGAGCATCTGATCAATGTACCAAATTTTTTCATGGGAGAACCTAGTTCACCATAAGCAGTTGTAAGCACAAGATGCATTAAAGAGAATAAACCCACATGTTCAGGAAAATTATGTAATCACATTACAACACAATAATCCCCTAGGAGACAGCCAGAAAAATCAACAGAAGTAAAAATAGGAAATAGCAAACTAACAACCAAAGATATATTTCCAGAATATTCAAAAGCAGGAGTACTTTATGAATTTTTACAAACATAAGAGATATAAGTTTGACATTTATTCAGTATTGACTTACTTTTCTACAATGGAACAGATTTTGGCAGTCAGGTCTCCCTTAAACTCTGGATCACTTACTTCGAGATGTTCAGTCAACTCCTTGGTCAATGGCTTCACATTGGTTTCGTTTACTAATAGACACACTAGGTCAAGGGCTCTTTTACGAATTGATGGATCGGAGTCCTGAAAATTAATAGCACATAAGTCGTAACAGAAATGATAAATGTGAAAACTTTGGGAAAAGATGTCAGACATTTGCATTTCAACTCAAGAAGCACTATAATAACGGAGGTACCAGCACGAAAAGATGCCATTAATAATGTATATACGTACGTGTTACACATTCCCCAGCAGCATCTACATAACTTTTACGACGGACCTTATAAAGCTAGAGTACCACACATCTAGAGCACAAATCATGAAAAGCTCTGGCTAGCACAATTCTAAACATACGCTAGAGATGTATTATGTAGGAGGTACTCCATTTGAGAGAAAAAGAACACAGATTGAAGAACAGGAAAACCGTGAAGCCGTAAATTGTTATGGTTTATGAGAAGAAACAATAAAATATAAAGGCAGTATACCTTCACACATTCTAAAATTGTTGCCCGATGTCTTTGTACTGCTTTACTATCTACAGCTATAGCTCTCATCAGCATGTTCAAGGCGACATATCTGAAATAATTGAACCTCAATAAAATGAAAAGCATATTGCAGAAGAGTAGAAGTAATTATGCAGCCAAAATAATGGCACTCAATCCACAGAAGGAAACCCCCTTTTCCGCCCCTTCCCCTAAATGAGAGAAACAAACAAAGAAAATTTAGATTTCGTTCAAGGATTGTTTTACACAATCAGGAGCATCTGAAGGTGGCAATAAAAATAAGCCAACTGACAGCACGAAAATTTTGTACTGAACCTCCTTACAGGTTGCGGTCACATGCACATCATACCAAAACCAGGGATGTATTGAGACAAACAGTACATAGGTTTTACTAAAAACCATATTTACAAATTTTACTTCAAAATCCTGCAAACTCCTAGCTAAATTGAATCTAGAACATTAATTATGGTGATAGTGTCATTTGAATATATTTGATTCACCAAAAACATAGTAAGAAAAAGGCAGTTTAGCTTAATCTGTTGCAAACTATTGTCTGTGCTGTCAAAACATCTACCATTCCTCTCCTTCCAAATCTTCATCCATATCTGTTTTTGCTTTCACACCAGCTTCCTCCCATCTCTAGATAGCTTCGGTAATCTTTCCAGGCATAGTCCATGAGATGCCTTTGGAATTTAAGAAAATCCTCCATAGCTGTCCAGTGACTTTGCAATGAGAAAATAGATGATCAACTGTCTTAGCCTTTTCCCCACAAAGAAAACACCTAGGACAAAGTGGCATCCCTCTCCTCATTAGATTGTCTTGGGTAAGAGCTGCTTCCTTGGCTAGCAACCAAATAAAGCAGGCCACTTTGTGGAATTTTGTTTTTCCAGCTGCCTTTCCATGGCCAGTTGCTTATGCATTGAGGTGTTTGATTCATCCACCAGTAAGCATTACTAACTTTGAACTGGCCATTCTTATTACCTCTCCACCATAAGGTATCTTAACCTACTTCCGGTCCATTGAATTGTTTGATAGTATTTAAGAAATATGCCACTCTTTGGATCTCGGATCTCCCAGTCATTTAGATGCCTTCTAAAGTTGAATCTCCATCCACGGGGTGTCCAAAATCCTACAATAGTCTTTTATTGATAGATACTAATGCATGAATATCCAACAAATTTTCCAATATTCCTGCCTCATGCCATTCATCTTTGCAAAAATCTCCATAATGTTCTGATAGACCTCCATAAACCAACTCCATATGGTGTTGTTATTTCCTTCATCATCCAGTGGTCTTCTTCTTCATGCTTAGCATTAATCACATTCCTCTGTAGAGTGTAATTCATATTGCTATATTTCCACAACCACTTCATTCTAAGGGCCTTGCTTTGGAATTTCAAGTTCTTGATTCCCAATTCCCCTTGTCCTTTGCTAGTTATCACTGCTTCCCATTTAACCAGATTATAACCCTTCTTTTCATTGTTTTCCTTGCCAGAGAAACTTTCTCCTCACCTTGTTTAATCTATTAATAACCCCATCTGGAATGGGAAAAATAGACATAATGTAGGTTGGGAGTGAATCAAGGACTGAATTGATGACAGTTAGTCTGCCTCCCCTAGAGAGATACTGAGCCTTCTATCTTGCCAATTTCTATTCACACCTTTCAATTACACTGTTCCATATTTCAGTTATTGTAGTTTTTTCTCCCAATGGCATCCCTATATAGATGGTGGTAGATTCCCTAATTCCCCACCTAGGATTGCATGCAAAATCTCCATGTTTTGCACCTCATTAATAGGACATAGGAAACTTTTCCTCCAATTAATGTCCAAAAACTCCTTCAAGAAGTACCAAAATCATCCACAAGGTCCGTGTTGATCCTCAGCATCACATAGTATCATAGTATCATCATCATATTGCAAGTGACTTATCTTCAGGTTCCTTTCTCCAATTTTGGCCACATCAAATCATCTGAGCCACCCTTTCATTTTTGTTGTTATGATCAAGCTATTAAGACCCTCCATAGCTATTAAGAAGAGAAAAGGTAACAAAGGATCTCCTTGTCTTAAACCCCTTGTGCACTGAAAATCTTACCGTTGAGATGCAGCATTTGACCCATTGTATCCACTTTTGACCAAAACCCATTCTTCTCATAGAATCCAATAAGTACTCCCACTTAACATAGTCATATGCTTTCTTCATGTCTAGCTTACCCGAGATTCTAGGATTTTTTTTGCTTTAGTCTGGAGTCAACAACTTCATTCGCTAATAGCACTACATCCATGATTTGTCTACCTTTGATGAAGGCAATTTGTTGTGGATCAATCAATTTGATCACATCCTAGTCTCTGCAAAGGCTATCTTCTGGTTATCCCTTTAAATTCTTGAAGCTTTCATCCCATTCTTCTGAAAAAAATATTCTGTCAATCCTAGAGGCTATCTTCTGGTTATCGCCTTTGAACCAAGTAAAATGGTTGTCTTCAAGTTGTATATCTATCAGCTTCAACTCGTCAATGACAACAGAGATTTCTCTCATACCCCTTGATCTTCTTAGACAATATCTCTTTCCAGTGATGAATCTGGCCACATTAAAATCCCCACATACTACCCAAGGACCTTCCATCAGACCCCTTACTGCTCCCTATCTCCTCCCACACTAATCATCTTTCTATGTAGCAGTTAGGAGCATATACCCCAGTGATATGACAAGAGAAGCCTTGCAATTGAGCCTCAATTTGCAGTTTAATGAGTAAGCACCTATTATAAGAAGATTTCTCCCTTCCATGTCGTGCTATCGCATAGCAATAGCATACCCCCTCTAGTGCCACTAGCTTCTGAGCAAGCAAATCTAACCAGCCTTCCTCCCAAAATTTATTTCACCTCCTCAGACAAATTCCACTCTAGTTTATTTCTTGCAGACAAATAATATCTACATTCTATTCTATCACTAAACTCTTAACCGATCTCTTTTTATCCTATTCCCATTATTTATTTATTTATTTATTAGAGAGAAAAAATTGACATCAAAAGACACAAGACAGTTCAGCTCTTGGGAGCCTCTAAATCTTGTGTTCTTGCAGAAATTCACATTCTCCATTCTTCTGCATGTCGAGAACTATCCACCAGTAGAAGTAGTTCCATAGCTTCTTCTTCATGTCCTTGGAAATCTGCTCCAAGCTTTTTGCCCGGTTTTATTATATTCTGCTTCACCCACAATGATGTTTCCCTTTCCTTGCATATGATCGATTGTTGTTGGACTTGCAGTGGTTCTGCATCCTCAATATCCCATTCCCCTACTATTCTGAGTTTCTCTCCCCAACCTCAATTAATCTATTTGTGATATTGTAGGTCTCTTTCTCCCCCAACTCCTTGTCAGTTGCTTCTATTAATTGCTGCTCAACTTCTACTGTTACTTCTCCTGACATGCCTTCTCTCGACACATTCATTGTCTCCCTCTCCTCAATTATCGATCTACTTCTAATCTTCATGGCTGCTGGCTCTGTTCCTGGGAGATATTGAACTTCTTCTTTCATCATCTTATTATATAATGAATGTTCTACCTCAACTTTGATTTTTTTTTAATTTCTTCTTTAGGTATGATGACTATATGTCCCAACTCCCAACTTTTTTTCTTTGGGTCCAAAAGTTGTGAAAAACTTGGCTCAAACTCCATTTTAGCCAAATAAAAATGTTTTAGCTAAAATAATGGAGAACAGACATGTTTTAGCTAAAATAATGGAGAACAGACTATGTATTTCCTGTTATCTTTTTTCTTTAGATGCACTAGTTATTTATTTCAACCATGTACTTTTGTTTTCGGGTGAAATTAATTTTTTTTAAAAAAATTGACTAGAGCTCTAGTATTTTTTGCCTAATAAAAAAGTTATAGCAAAACTAATGACAAAGCAACTGTCTACTTTTTTATTTCTTAATTAGATGCAATTTCTATATATTTCAACTGTGAATTTTTCTTTTTTGGCAAAATCATCCTTGTATAATAATAATAAACTTCAACTGTGTATTTCTTTTATATCTTTTTTTAGATGCAATGACTTTTTTGTAGGCCAAATTTGTAAAAGTAATTAATTGAAACTTCATCACTTTTAGCAAAATAAAAAAATTTAGCCATAAGGAAGTTCTAGGCAAATTCTCTCACAAATTTGACTGGAAAAAGATGACCTAAAAAATTATTGAATTTCAAAAGGTAAAAGAACTTTTTATTTAAATGAAATAAGACATGGAAAGTAAAATCCACATGGCAAGCCAAGCACGTGCATGCCACTTCCCTGGGATGAGATCATCCGGGAGGGGGGTAATACTATCAAACAGCTAAGTTCAGGCATAATTATCAGCACAAATAGTTTAGAGCTGCAACTAATAATCCATGCAAAATTTTAGGGGAGCTTTTAGATATTCTGCCAATTTGTAATTATAGGTTTGGTCCAAATTATTGTTCTAGTTACACTCCTGATGTAACACAATAGAATCATAACTCAAGACCTTTCACATTCAGATGTGCGGCAGGCAAAGAAATAATACATACCACTCATTTCCCAACATATTTGAAAAATCAATTGGAGGATGTTCAGGAAGAAGTCACATATTGAAGGTGCACAAACTTTGAAAACGATTAATTCAGTTTCAACCAAAGAATATTCTAAGGTGCAATCCTAAGACACAGAAAAAGAGTCCCAAACAAATTGGTAGATTACCCAAACAAATTTTCGGAATAAAATTTAACTAGATGAATGAAGATGACCTGATGTTATTGTCACGGTTGGACAAAAATCTTCCCAAAATATTAATAGCAAGCACTCGTAAACCACCATTATCTTCAATGTTCATGATGGTTTCAACACATTCATAGAGAATAGCGTTGCCTGCATTTTTGTTTGACTCTGTCTTTGTTGCTACCTAAAAAGTAATTTAAAATTGTTAGACAATGAATAAGAAAATGAAATTTTGACTTTACACAATAACTTCCCTGATGAATAGCAAATTCCATTTCTTCTTATTCATACAGATAATAGTAGTTCCAGTGATGGTAACATAGTTCAACTTGCCACAAATTAGTTGTAAAAATGAGCCAGGAGAAAAAGCAAAAATACAATAGCCTCAGATTGTTGTATTTTCTATGATGTTTGTGTTAATCAGAGTCTCTGAACTGTGAAAAAACTTATTCTGCAATGCATATGCTCAACACAACCATTTACTAGCTTCATTCAGTATCCTCATCAAGGATTCACACAATAAATTTTCCAAATAAAAATAGCTAGCCCAGCAGGGTGATTGTGAGTATTAATAAAGATCAACGAAAACAGGGAACAAAATGAAATGAAAAGAGCCGTGAACACCCAATGAGCATAAAGTAACTATATACACTTGTCCTTTAACTTTGACTATAAGCATCATCAAGTACAAATATACCTTGCTTTCTTTATCCTTTTCTATAAGTAATCATTTATCATCAACAATCTGGCTAATCTTGTACACACAGAGAGGAAAAAAACTCATTCTTCTGTCTTTACAGACTAATCAAGGGAATAGGCCATTCTAATGCAAGATTCACACATCAACTGCCAAAATGTTGACAAAACAAGCCTATGAGGAAAGCATTCGTAAAAATTCAAAACTGTACAACTCCATGACATTCACATATGCTAAAATAGATCACTGAGCTATAACTGACCTGAGCAAGAATGTCATTCATGGAATCACTAGCGTCAGCATCACCTTGGCCCAAAACACGCAAGACCTTGAGCAATCTTATATGAAGAAAAGGATCTGAAATGCCGGAAATGTCATATTCAGGTGCATACGGGCTGTTGGCAACATCCTTTAGCACTTTCACTAAACCATCTGTGCATGTCTATAACCACAGATGAACAGAAACAAAACAAAAAAGATAATGTAAATGCCTAGTTGAACTGAAATGAACCTTCAAATCTTATCTATCTCATAATTCAAATACGCATTTAAGCTCAAAGCTAATGCATAGAATATATCAACTAATGTTTCATATAATGGATGGCAAGGTGAGGCATATCAATGTGGAGATGGGATCATTGATAACTGCCATTAGTTAAAAACGTTTGACCTCCAATTTTTTGGTCTAAAGGAGATAAGTAGACAAAATTTATATCACCCCCCCCCCCCCCCGCCCCCCTTAAATATGAGCGATGTCAAGAAACCGAAAGAATAATTCATTTCCCCTTATACCTCATATTTAACCAAAGAGACACAAAATTATGCCTCCTCTTTTACTTCATAATGTCCCACCTCTTGTCTTTTCACCCCAATCAATCATTACACAAGTGAATTTAAGAAATTACCTGTGCAGGTTTAGTCATTCTTTTCAGTTGGAACATCAGAAAAGAGAGTGTGTGGTGTAGAAAGGAAGAATCAGAATGAAAGATTGGATAAGATCCTATTAACATTCTTCGACCAATAAAAGTAGAGGCATGTTATCAAATCTAACTTAACAAGTCAGACAAAACTAACTTTCTGGAAAGTAGAAATCTCAGCAAATAATACTACTTCCATAAAAATATTGCAAACTTTACAACAAGCAAGAAAAATAATAATAGGTTGACCAAGCATTTCTGCTCCAAAACATTTACATGGAACGAAAGCAGCATGGAAATCTAGCCCATTATGCCTCTTTTAGGCATTTGAAACAGAAGGTTGGGAGGATTTATCAGAGTAAGTGTTCGTATTGTTTCATATGCACTTTTAGCATTTTGAAAGAATATCTTTTTGTACAGGTAGTTGGGTAGGCTTGACAGGAGAATGACAGTAGCTTACGAAGCCCAAATGAACTTACGGGTCATTTGGTTGCTGGTCTAGAGCTATGCAAGTATTAGTTATACAGGAATTAGTTATGTAGGATTTTGCTATGCAGGTTTTAGTCACTCATGTATTAGTTAGTCCATCTTCTATCATGTAGAAAATAATACATAACTTCTCCCACAACTTATACAAGTATAGTTGCACAGGATCCTAAATTTCTATTCAAACACCATAATTGGTGTGTTGAATTTTATACATAGCAAAAAAAATGCTATAAAAAATGTACAAGTTCTGCAGGATTTAAATAAATTATATCACCTCCTAGCCTGCAATAAAATGACCCCTTATAGTTTAGGAACCATCTTGAAAAATCAATAAAACGATATTTAATTCATAACAAAATGTCTCTCCTAGTGTTGTGCCCCACCCCAGCCCCTTGGGTAACATCTTCCACTTTTTACCAGGTTGAAACCCTTTGGTTTGGAGACTAGAAAAGGACAGGTTGACACACCATAGCAGATTATTACCTTTGGTTCGGATACTAGAAAAGCACAGAGCAAGGAAGAGAAACAAAATGAGGGAAAACGGGAAGAGTAGTAGAAAGGTACTAACTTTCCTTTTTGGGCTGAAAGAGAGAACAGGAAAGGAAATAAGAGATTTTGTTGATCCAGTGAGAAATTTTGCGTGTCCGAGAGGATTATAGTTTCCATTTAGCATACCCAATAAGAGAACAGAAATTTCTAGAACTTCTTCTTGGCATTCCTTTCTTACCTTCCAGACAAACCAGTTAGTCACAAGTACCAGTCACAGATTTTCCCAACATTATCAAGAAAAGAAAAGGATCCCTGAATTTGGACAAGCAATAACTCAGCAAATAAAGGAATTCTGTGCAAGTAAAATAATTCTTTTTTGTTTTGTTTTTTAAAGGGTAAACAAAACATATCCTTGTAGAACCAAAAGTGGGAAAAAGAACATTAGTAGACACAAGAATGATAAGGTCAAAGCCCTAAATGACAAAAAGCACTATTTCACATGGCAAATAAACTCAAAATCCTAATATAAAAGACAGTAAAATATGGAGTTACAACAACAAACGTCATGCTCCTAACAAGTACATAGAGTAAGACCAAGAAAGTGGAAATCTTAATACCAATCAGACTATCTTCTACCATCTTTTTTCCCCTTTCTCTATATTTCCCCCTTATTTTGGTTGGCTGGGAGGTCTTACGTTCCCGCCGTAGTTGTCAGTGCATATATTCCCATCAATTTTGATTATTGTATCATACTCTTTTAGGCCCAGGTTCCCGCATTTAATTTAAGAAGATCAGATCCCCTGACTATAGTTGGAAATTGCTATAGAAAGAGAAAAATGCTGGTTCTTTATGTAACTGTGTCTATATTTAGAGTTGTACACCAGTTAAAATGAAGATGTGTTCCTTTCTTAACAATAGCTTCTCAGAACTGCATTCAAGAGCAGAATGTCACAAAAATGAGAAAGAACGAGCAATATGTAACAGATTTCCTTATGACCGAATGTACAAGTAGCAAAAGATAATGGTGTCCATATTAACCTTACCTTTCTAAAATATTCAAGGGCCTCTGCACTAACTTTGCATAGATCTGCGCAAAGCTGGACACCGGTGATGAGGACTCCATGGTGCTTCTCTTTTAGCAAGGCAGCTACAGGGTTAACAAAATTTTCGGCAAGATCTGGGACCTTCTTTATAATTCTTATAGAACAAAGTGCAGCCTACAGTAGACCAGTAGACCAAAGTAAAGTGAACAGATGTTGGTAACAAACATATGTGAGTAACAAAGGCACATCAGACCAGCAGTACTTAAATACACAGAAGAGAATACTTAAAGATCGAAGGATGATTTTGAATAATATGCATAAGTCAACCTTGTTCAAAGGAGGCCACAGAGAAAAAGGAAGAGTGCAAATTAGAAATGGAGCCCAAGAGGATCGATTTTCTTATATAACAAACCCCACCCATAACGAAACCCCTTCTTCTCCGCCCTCCTATGCAGAAGTCAATAGTGGCCCTTTCCCACTTTGCTTCCTTGGTGACTCCAACCTCCAACATCACATTTGGAGGTAGAAGTCCTTTCACTGGGCTACTCCTTTCTTAGTGGAGCCCAAATGATAGTTCACAAAAAAAAATTATGGTTGATTATGGGAAGCAATCATATAAATGCACGGTTCCAAAAGGATCTGATAAGATATGCCTACAGACCTAATGGTAATAGCTACTCATAAAACAATGAATGGTCTGCATTGGTGACTAAACTAAGCAAAAGTAGTCTGAGTCTGCTTTTCCCCGTATTTAACTTGATTCTGGAGTCAATTTTCTGTTGAGCAATCAATGTCAAGCAAGAACATTTAATTGCCTATGATAATCAATTGTCGATTTCTCATCCGTATTTATTCCCAATTCCTACATGGAGTTTGATGACAGCTCTGCTTAGAGCATAATGCAAATTTCACCATCTAGGATTGCATAAATGATAGCTTCCATTATAAAGACTCCATCTCAACATTTTACTAACCAGCAACTTCTGATCTGAAGAACAGTCTCCATATTACTGTAGGTCAGGAAAAGTCACCTTCTAATAACAAATCCTGAAATTCCTGATAAATTCCTTGTTCCTCATGCACAGATTGGCTCAGACATCCCACAGACATCATAATAAAATTGAGCAAGTTCACTTTCTCTAACACAACACATAGAAATTCCTATTAAGCTATCAGTGTTTCCACACATGCGTTAAGCATTTTGTCTTTTCCTTTTAACTCACCATCCCCCCAGTTCTGTACAGATGAACCTCAACTTTAAAAATTGATTCATCAGTGAGTTCTTCAAGAAATTAAAATTTAACGAGTTTGTGTGAGCAAGCTTAGTCCCACAGAACTTCACATTGGAATGGAACTTCAACAACTTAAAAGAACTTCACATTAGAATGGAACTTCAACAACTTAAAAGAACTTTATCTATTAGCAAGAGATGTAAGACTTACCTTCTTTCGGATATTAGGATCTCTAAACTGAAGTAATCTTTCAATTTCAGGAGCTAAATCACGAGCCATTTCTGCAGAACAAATGTTTCCCAAGGCGCAAAGCGCAAGTCCAACAATATATTGGTTGGTGTGATTAAGATCTCTATTAAAAGTTAAGGTATCTTTTAAAATAAAATTCCATCTTCCGAACGAAGCGACCAGCAATAGACTTTTCTTATTCTATTGTTTCTTCTTTCGGGAGATGAATCAAGTTGTTTTTGAAAAAACAAAAGAGAAGATATGAAAAAACCCGAATCCAGCAATTCTCTCTTCAATCATTTTAATTTGGTCTGATCATTCAAGTGACTTCTACTAATGTAGATAAAGAAAGAAATTAAGGAGAGACCACAATAAAAGCAGCAAGTCTGAAATGGATACTGTTTTATAGAATTTGTAACCAACATTAGAACTTCTTGTCTTTCATCAAGCAGCAACATTAGACCAAGATATCCTATTCGTTTCTCTGGGAATCCCGGAGATGCAATTAACTTCAAGCATTCCATTTGACCGAAATGTGTAGGGTAACCAAGCATGTGAATAAACATTAGTTTTGCAAGATTACGATGTCTATAATCTGGATCGTTTTCACTGATAGAAGCTCTAATAGCAGCACACTCCTTTCTTACTACGCCACGCTCTTCTGCTGCAGTTTTGCAAGCACGGATAGCCCGAATCATGTCCCTGCATTGGAACAATAACGGTAATCATCATCTTTATCACATCTACGCTATCTTATGAACTACGCATCTTTAGTTAACCAAACATAATCTGACACAGAAACTTAGCATCAGCATCCTTACACACTTTTTCTTTTTTCCTGTGGGAATGGTTGTGCAAGGATGGGATAAGTAAAATGATATAGTCAGTCAGTAGGTGAAGAGAAATGTTGTTTCATAAAAAATTATTGTGATGCAGGTAATTCCTGCTTTCTGAACGCTTTCTGTGAGAAAATAAAATAATCTTTAATGGGTTACACCTCTTAGGATACATCCACACTGTTTCCTTACCCATCAGAAACAATTCCAAAACTAAATAATGAGAAAGAACGCTTGCCTAGTGTGGATTACCTCTCCTATGTGATTTGCGAGTATTGCATAGGAGCGGGGTTTTACCATGTGCGCACCCAAAAGGGTAGCGACTGCAGGTTTCCCTTGTCGTCAAAAAAAATGTGGAGCATCATGCAGTTAAACAAAGAGAAAGAAAAACAGTTCTATTCTATATCAAATGAAATGTAAACTGTGATGCTGCTATACGACAAGGCAGCATAGGCGCCAACAAAGCTGTAAACCAATCAATTCAGAGGTAACTGAAACCATATGTATAAGAACTACATGTGACCTGGAATATGTAGAAAACAGAACACATTTAAATTAAACCAAACTAAGCTAAAAGTGTTTTTATATTTCAAAAGTAGAACTTTTAGTTCAGTTTGGTTTAATTTAAAACAAGCAACTTGCCAACTGCCAACCCTCATGAAAACTAATGGGAGTCCGAAAAAGAAGCTAGCAAACTGCCAACTTGGACAAAACTAAAACCACAAGTTTTCAGAATAATGTGTAGACAAACACAACAACAACAACTACTATGCTTCAATTCCAAACAAGTTTGAGTGAGCTTCCAGCCCCGTGCAACCAAGAACTAGTAGCATGCTCCAGTGTAGAAAAGAATAACCAATCACATAGACTCATGAAAAAACACATTTTTTCATAACTTTGAATCTCTAGATTAAGCAAATCCTCACATCTGAAATATCATTCATCCATAGCTAAACAAATATCATATACAGATAACCTCAAATTTCATACTTATTAGCCATATTTTATATTAGTGACCAACAATTTTTTCAAAGCACCATATACTAAATACAAAGGTTATTGAAATCCAACATCATAACAAGCGACGATGTCCACACACTCTCACTTCTAAGGCCAAGTCATGGAGGAAAAGAAGAAACCAGCTCTTAGAGAAGCTACCACCAAAGGGTTTAAATACTATCTAAACATGGTATCAAGCAATAAGACAAAAGAACAGACAACGTGGCACATTGGGAGGATCCTTCAGTTTGATCTTCCTCTCAGATTGGCATTACAGAACAATCTGAAAATCGGTGAAAGCATTTAGATGTTTAATTTATCAGATATCTAGGATTATTAAAAAGCTTCCTGTGCTAACAAAATAATGATGGAAAGTTCCATACATATCTTGATATTATACACCTCATTGTGGGACTATACTTGGTATGTTGTTGGTATCTCGATATAGATACAAAAAAAAGGAGCAAGTGGCTGATCTTTATTTCTTATTTTTTGTCCAGATTGCAAAGTCTAAGACTATAACAATCAATGATGAGCATTAAAGAAATCGTAGAGAAAAAACAAACAATTAAATTTAGATTGCTATAAAATTAGCCTTTCTGGTGGTAAAAGACAAAAGCTAAGATTATAACTATCTAGTTAAGAGATCAAGGCCACTAATGGTACTAATCACTACAATACTGCATTCTAGGGAGCCACATCACATAACACTTGCATGATATTATTGCTTCATAGCTGTGCAGGTCATCTACTCAACACCATATTTCATGGTTTAAAGAACGCCTGATCATGGATTTTGAGTTTTTGGGTGTGTTCACTGTGTAAAAGAATCCAATTTTTCCATGCTCAGTTGGACAAAATCTTTGGAAAACATTTTCTCTAGGAAAATAAGTACTTAAAAATAAGGATAATGGCTTCCCTAATGGAAGTATGGAAAACAAGTTTCACAAGTGGTATTCCACATTGATTATGTCCTCCCCACTCTCCATCACACCTTATCTTCAGGCCTACCCCCATCGTCCCATCCCCACCACCCCACCCCTTACACGCACCTTCCATAGTATTTGTCTAGATTATAAGCAAATGGTTTTAGGATAATATGTTTTGCTTAAAAACCAAACATAAGAAAATACGTAAGATATCCAGTTATTTTCCTAGAAAATGTTTTCCTTCAAACAGAACACACCCTTTGTGTCCACTGAACCAGTATAGGTATGATCAGCATTTTCGTTTGGATCAATCATCCAATTCCAATAGTTCCCTCTTTCTCTTAACTAAGCCCAGAACCAACACAGTTCCAGACTTTAAGCTTAAACTATGCAACGTCAACCATTTCTGAAATGTTGTGTTTAAGCAAAGCCTAAACCAATAAACCCCATGAACAAGAAGAAATTGAAAAAATAAACAAAAGTTTAAACAAAGTGACAAGACAATTATGAATTCAAGCTTAAATCCCTTACAACCAAGTAACATATTACCTGAAAACATCTCTTAAATAAATGCAACATTAACCCAAACATGGATACCAATTCATCACCAATAACAACACAACAACAATCACCCTTAATTGAAAACTAGTCAGGTGGACTATATAGATCCTCTAAGAAACAATGGAATCATGCAACAAAAGAATAATAACAATAACAATGACAATGCGAGAAAATGTGGAACTTGGTACAATTACTAACCTGAGACGCGTGCCGGAGGAAAAGGGGTTCATGATTGGGTCCGCCTTGAAACTATGAGAAAGCTCGATCAGATCCAGGAGTGCTGACTATTTTAACTGTTTACGAGTAGATTTAATTGCAAAATGAGAGCAGAATCTATCAATGGAGATCTGAGGAAGATGCAATTAAAGCATCTGAGAATCAATCAGTTGCTAATTGGGTTGAAATTGGTCGTTTTGGATCTGGAAATGAACAAAACAAGAAGAAGAAAGAGAAATAATAGGAGTCGAGATGATTTTATGCAAAATTGAATTGAATGAACAATCTGTGTATCACATGAAAAAAAAAATCTTATTTTTGTTTCCAAATGAAATTACTGCTCAAACTTTACTCCGTTTCAATTTGTTCTTATTTTTTCTTGGTAATCCGATTGTTTTAGATTTGTTTAAGATTGGAAAAATAAAAATAATTTATTACATACTCTATATTTTCAATTTAATATAATAAAATTTTAAAAAATATAATTAATTTTTGGAATTGAACTAAATCTATACAATAAAAAAAATAACAGAATATCACATAAATATATTCCGCTTTAATTAAGACCAATATATAACCTTAATAAAAGATACAAAGTTCGAACTCATTTAATAAAAGTACTTTATCCTTTCACGTCTTGACATAGCAAAGTCACTTAACATGAATTCATAAAATTCATACATACATAACATAAGTATTACTTGCATACATGTAATAATCTTATCTTAGTTCATTTCTTACTTTGGGAGACATAGCCATAACCGATATAGACCATGTGATCTACATGGAATCTAGTGTTCTCCTCCCACACCAATAAGAGAGTGTTAACACTTGTCTAATGTGTAACCAATGATACAAAGATATCTAGGTGGAATCCACAATCTATAACCTATGCGGGTACGTAGTTATAAAACATGGAGATTGCTTCTAGAAACCTTGACTTACTAGAGTGGAGGTTTCCATCTCATGAGACAACATCTATGTTGGGAACCCAGACTTGCTAAATCTGAAATTTCTCTTGTGGGAAGCCGGACTTACTAAACGTGAAACTCTCCACTGTCATTTGTCATGTTCGCTCGGTGCTAGGCTAAAACTCCCTTCTTAAATATATTTAAGACTTTAATGCATTAGTTCATAAAGAAGGCTTTACGAGCTTGCTCCTTCATACATCATAATGCTCAAAGGATTCTAAGATGAGAATCGCCTTTTATCATAGACCCTACTTCATGTGAGGATGTCCTTTCACATATTCATACAATCATACATCATGTGTATCTACGTACAATGTGATATCTATGTTCACATAACACCTCTAATCACATGTGTTCATAACTTCATTAATCATATACTTACATACATAGAAATAGGTAATGATGCATAAGAGAATTACCTTTTCCTTAGTCATCTAGAAAGTTTCACTCCGCACCTTGGTCCGGCAGCGTGTGTTGCTATACTAACCCTTACCTTTACCTCATATTAAGCATTGTATTCGATATTTGACTAAGTTATTACCTCGTACCAATTGAAACTAGCCTATTAGACACTAAAATTATGTTGATAATTCTTTTCCTATTATCTACCTCCTTGGCCCGTCGTCTCATTCTTCACAAATTCTTCTTTTGCTTTCTTCGTTACCCTCAACAAACAGGTATGACGGACCATTCCAAGCGCGACGGTCTGTCGAGGGTCTCCGTTCCATAATACTTTAACTTCTTGGAATTCGGGTACTGGACTACTCTCTGATCATCACGACAAACTAGCAGGACGGACCGTCGTGGACTTTCGTAATCCCACGCTAGGTCAGACTTCCCTATCTTCCTTCAGCAGGTTCACTATGATGCCACCTACGGACCATCACAAGATGTACGAACCGTCACAAGCTCCGTAGGTGGTCTCTTCTGCATTTCTCGCTCAAAAATTTCCGCGTTCATCTTTGGACAGATTTCCCATAAATAAGGAGAAACTTACATAAAAATCAATACAAAAAGGCTTTTGGACACACACTAAACTTAAGAAAAAAACATTAAAAATACTTTGAAACCACGGTACATCAACACCCTCAACTTAAATTCGTTGTTTGTCCTCAAGCGACGCACTATGACTCACTACAAAATCTTTGTACATTAGTATCCATATTTTAGCTTTCGCAATCATTTGGCAATCAATACCGATCAGTCTCATCATGTTTATGCATGTTATCACTATTAGGCTTGAATTTTGTGGAACTAGACCATGACACAGTCTCACCACGCACTGACACCTATCCTCTTCAATTTCTCACCGAGGTGCTAATATTTCCGATATTGCAACTAGTGTCCTCACTTCAATATAACATCCTCATTTTTCACACAATGATTTCAGTTTGAGTATAAGGAATACTTTTCAACAGTCACTCTCAGAACAAATTCACAACTCATTCATACATATTGCCATAAGATTGCCCTTATTTTCACTGCTTTAAGATCTCTATACAACTCTTAGGATCACGATAGGACTTTCTTAGATTGTAACATAGGCTCAGGGTTAGGTAGGATATATTTAGGTATACTTTAGTGACTTGTTTCCCTCTTTGACATATCTATTAAGCGTCCTACCTTTTCATCATTTTATTTCGCCCTATTTCTTATATTCTTTCACCTTGCTATTTTTCCTTCTTTCTTCATTTGTGTAAGTGACTCTTTTCTTTTCTTGCTTGTATTTATTATATTTTTTTATTTCACTTTTCTTTCAACTGGTACTTGAGTCACTTTACTTTTGTTCTTTCTTTCTCTTTGTTCTTTCAAACCCACTTTCCAGAGCATTCCTCATAATAGCCACCCTCAACTAATGGCTTTGCCATGAGCCAAAGTACACAATACCCAAAGTTTGGTCAGGGCCACAAAAAGGTTGTTTACTGCATTAGCCACCCTCAACTTATGCTTTTGGCATAAGTTTTGGCATAAGCTGAGGTGCACATGTCCAAAGAGGGACCAGGGCCAACACATTATTCTTAGAAAAGATCAGTTGGGGAGAAAAAGAAAGGTCTATTTTAAGCTTAAATCATTTGGATCAAAGAGGGATTATTTGTTTATTTAGGCTAAAAATTGGCTATATTGAACAAGGGCCTATGATCCTTTCCTAATTGTCTATTACAACTTACTTTTAGCAGGACTTACTAGGCAAGTTCTAGATCATTACAAATAGTGGACTATTAAAATTTTCCTCATACTCACTTGAAATCTCATTAGTCTACCAGATTATCAGACACCTAGTTCGAGTCTTAGACTTAGGGTCATGCAGTAGTGTATCTCTATGTCATGCTTAGAGCTACACATTTATCAATTACTGTGCCTAGCCATGCATCATTTTCATTACATCAGGATATCATTTTTGTTTTATCCATCATGCTTCAAAGTTATACTATGTACAAAAGATATAGACATGCCAGTTCAACAATAAAAATAATCAGTCTCTTAGGGAAAAAGAACACAGGAAAGAAAACCCAAAAGAGGCTCGTGAATTGGGCTACTTAGACTTCACCCTAGCACTCACTTTCCATTTACCCCACCCCCAACAAAAAGATATGCAATTGTCCCCAATGCATAAAAAAAACGAAAATACGAGAGTGGTAGGTGAAGTAAACCTGGGGTGCAAAGCGCCAGCGATCAACAAGCTGGTGGGTCCTGTTCCCCGGAACCCACTACCTATGTAGTCTGGACACCCTCAGTAGTGTCCTCAGTAGTAACAACACTATTAGTAGTGCCTCTCGCTGTCTCCACATCTCTGGAGCTAGATGCCCCAGCAGCTGACTCTACAGCCCTGATCTAACGCGCCTCCTCATCAGCAATCGAGGCTCTCCTCACAGCCTCCATGTCATGACGCTCCTTCTTCCTTGATCTAGCCTAATCCTCCTCTCTACCCTTATGCCTCTTGGCATGCTCTCGAGGGAGAGGTGGTGGAATCTCAGAAGTGGCGAATAAAGCCTCCAACACTGTGGCCTCAGCAAGCTCTGCAGAAGGGGCCTCAGACTCAGGCACCCTAGCCTCTAGATCATATCAATATCTGCTTGCAGACTTTCAACCGCAGGTTGAAGGGTTGACATGTCGACTGGAGAGGCTGGCCGGGCTAGCACCTGCAACTCAAAAGCGTCTAAGCGCTGATGAACGTCAACGATCTTCCGCTCTGTGTGCTTTGCCATTCTACGCTCCATGCGCTCCTCCGACTTAGCAATAGAACTCTACATCCAAGGCTGGATGTGATGCAGAAGTGTTGCCATCTGAACCTCTAGTTTTTGGACCCTAGCAAGCGGGAACAGAGCGAGGAAAGGGGTTGAGCGAGAAGAGCTAGGGGCAGTGCTACTACCCGAGATAGACTCGACCGAGGTAGTGTCAGTAGTTGAAGTAGCCTGCGTAGCTGTTCGAGCATGTGCTACAATATCAGCCAAATTTTCACCAAGTGGAGGCAACTCTGGATGGGGCCCTCTGCGTGGAGCCAACTCATTGGCCTCATCCCTGAAGAGGCCGATATCAACAGTTCCCAGCGGAGTCTTGAGCTGATCAATGTGCCAGATGGGCACACCTGCGGACCTGCATAAGGAAAATATCATGCACGGAAAAAGGGTAAGTAGTGGTGACCTTGAAATCCCTCTCGTGCATGACCATCTGTAGAAGCCAAGCAAAGTCAACCTCAAATCCGGCTATCATCGCTGCCATCAGAACTGCGTGATCCCATGTAACTATATTATCAGCAGCCGTTGGGGAGAGGAAGTAGCGGACAATCAACCATAATAAATTAGCTGTGAAGGTCAAGTTAGCCTTCCTAATGTCTCCCTTTGGCTCCATGACTTAGTCGGCACCCTCTTCATCAATAGATAAGTGCAGGGCCATTCACCTCTTGGTGGTCTCTCTCAGCGATGGCTCACACAAGAATTGTCCATCTTTAACAATTTGCCACTGGCAGTCAAACTCGGCGGTGAAAGGGGTCCTGGTGGTATCAACATCCTCTCCGTACAGATACCGGCGGATGGCTGGCAGGGAGATGTAAACCTGTATGTCGCGTACTCTGACGTGTTCAAGTGGGGCCTATTTGGCGGGGGTAGCCCGCCTATCGATCTGTGATCGAAGAGTAGCCATATAAGAGGCGTAAAACTCTTGGACCAACACCTCACTGTAGGGGACCAAAGAACGAGTTGTCCACTCTAGCTGGTGTCTGGTGAAGAGATTGTGGATTTCTGGCATGGTGGGAGAATTCTCATGAGGACCCGCCTCTCCAGTGTAAGGGTCCGTGCCATGACGCTTTATCATTTAGAAACTTGGCATTTGAATGCACTTGGTATTGCCCGTCGACACACCACCGGTTGGGCTGGTCGGCAACCGGTATGAGAGCACCAATC